TTTTTAATATTTATTTTTTAGTTCTCGGTGGACACAACATCTTTGTTGGTATGTGGTGCTGAGGATCGAACCCGGGCCGCACGCATGCCAGGCGAGTGCGCTGCGGCTTGAGCCACATCCCCAGCCCTGGTAGTATCCTTTAAAACACAAACTTTTAATTTTCATGAAGTTCAATTTATCTGGTATTTTCTCCCCTTTGGTCCCACAGACTCCTTAGATACAGTATCTATATCCATTATGACAAGAAAAGGGGGGACATACCAGATAGGAATAAATGAAAAAAATGACAACTTCACAGTTCATATTAATAAAAAATTATTTATAAAATTGCCTTTCTCTAGACAGCATAATTGCTGTTGATGAATATAAGCCAAATATGAATCACTTACAAGTCATTATCTTTCCATTTAGCTGGATGGATCCAAGGACAGAGCAATGAAGACTATCACCCTAGAGAAAGCCAATTAGTATTTATACTATTTCAAAATATAATTTATAAATGGCTTAATCATAGCTTTCAAAATCTGAATGGACCATTTCAAATCAGCTTTCTATAAAAGCAGTGGAATGATTAGAGCATAGAGAGTGGATTGATCATTAGGTGGGAAGAGTTGTCCCATCATCTCCAGAAGTCTGCATTTGATTCAGATGTGTACATTCCAAGGGACAAAGGACCCAGGCTCATCTCTTGGAATCTAGAATAAAAGAATAAATTTGGGAAGTTCACAACTTAGAAAAAGTTTGTAATTTAGGCAAAATTAATAAATAAATAAAGTAAGACCATAAAGTAAGCCAAACCCATTGGGGGGCAACCAAGACAACAAAGGGCTAGGGAACAACTGGTGTGTGATAATTCTAAGACTCACTTATTACACACCATAATGGAACAGCATGTGAAATGAGGAGGGATCCAGGAGAGGACTCAGTGAGGAGGAGCTACAAGCCATCATCTCACACTCGAGGGACTGATGAAAAAGTCTGCCTCTCCAGTGTAAAAGAGCTGATTCATGGGGGCTTGGAGAGACCATAAGGGATGCCACCTAGAGCCAGCACAAGAGTGTAGGAGGGGTTTCCCCTCAATGTGAAAAAGAACTTTCTTATAGTCAGAGGAATAACTGAATGGCATGACTTTCCTCCATAATTAAAAATCCTATCACTGACTATAACCAAGAAGACCCAAGCTGTATGCTCCACAGGGAGGTCATGGGAAGGACTCCTGTAGTCACCCTCTCCTGTGTGGGGCAAGAGTGGAAACAGATTATTGGAGCAGCTTACTCTTGGCCCAGGAGTCCTAGGTTCTGAGGACAGTCCCTGAATTCTTGTTTCTGACACAGATGTCTTGGGAAGGACAGAGACAAAGAAGATACATAAAAATAAAGGGAATGAACCTCCATTTTTCAAGTGGCATAAAACTGGGCCCCAGAACAAGCCAAGCAGGGCCAGGCTGAGGGAAAAATGAAACCGAAGGGGTCCATGTTCAAGGGCCATTCTGCTCTTCTCCTGCTCTGATGCCCTCAGGATTCCAGTTCTATTTTCTTCCATGGAAAAACCACAGTAGTGGGTTAAAGAAATTTATGGTTACCAATATGAGCCCCAAATTGAGAATTCTATCATTTTTTTTTTCTACTAGGTAGAACATACCATTTTTGTGAACTTGTCCTCACAAGCCATTCTGATCCTCTCTGGAGTCAGTGGACTATTGAGCTTCAATGGTCCAGACAGGCCCCTCTCCTGTCTTGCTGCACTCACTGCATCACGGATGGCGAAAAACACGGAACACCCCAGAAACACTCCAGACTCTCCCAGACCCTTGGGACAAACAAACCAATCAGATGATGTCTCTTTCTCTAACTTTGCACATAAATATATAGAAAAAATGTGACTGTATATTTGTGAAGTATTATATATGTAATTTTTAATTTAAAAAGTAGATTAATCTTTTGACCCAACAGTCCCATTCTTAGAATCCTAAGAAAATTATCCCAAGTAGAGAAAGCAGATACAAGCATGAAGATGATCATTGCAAGATGGAGAATGAGACACAACCTAATGGCACTAACACACTCATGTTAGGCTCCAAGATTTGCAATATTTAAAATGTTTCTTATTATGTTGCTAGATTACTTTATACTTAAAATGTTTAATAGGGATGTTTTCTTCTGCAATCCTGGTGAAAACACCAGACAAGAAAGAAGTGACGGTAGGCCTCTCTCTGCTCAACAGATATCATATGAACGTGCATTTATTCACAGCTTACCTTAGATGAATACAGGGTGTTTGACTTTTCAGATGGAGGCAAAAAAGAGATGTGCAGCTCTGTAGGGATGTCACAGATGGCAGGAATTTTATATTGGTTTGGACCACGTGTGTACAGAACACCCTGAGGAGAATATTTCAGTTCCTCTATTGTATAAAGTCCCATGCCTTGAATAAAGGCACCTTCAACCTGAGGAAGAAGAAGAAGAAGGAGAAGGAGAAGGAGAAGGAGAAGGAGAAGGAGAAGGAGAAGGAGAAGGAGAAGGAGAAGAAGAAGAAGAAGAAGAAGAAGAAGAAGAAGAAGAAGAAGAAGAAGAAGAAAGAAAAAAGAATTTCCACATATGAGAATATTTTCAACAGTAAACAGCATTTCAACCTCATGCTGTTTGTTTGAATTTTTAAATTATGGTTTAAGAGGGCTTTCAGGGTGTCTTAGAGCATGTTGCTGAAAGTCTACCTAAAGGAATTTCTATACATCTCAGCTAAGTTTCCAAGTCAAGTGACTTGGATTGTAATCTTGTCTAATAGTTAAAATTATAGCTCAAGGAGAGTCCTCACAGAGCCTGTTGTCCAAATACCCTCATTTTTCCTGCTACTGAGGCAGGTAAAGACCTCTGACTGCCTGGTCTGCAGCGAAAGGCTCTCAGGGCTCCAGAATCCCATCAGGTTGCTCCACATCCCCACTCCAAAGGGAGCCTCACCTTTATGGACTCACTTTTCTCCCTTATAATGAAGAATGTGAACTATGTTACCTCTAAGCTTCCTTTACAATTTTAAAATGCTCAAGTTCCTAGACATGGACTCATGGCCAAAAGCATCTTCTGACATTCTTCCTCATTTCTGGGTCTCTTCCTCATTTACTTCCTTCCTCTGACCATAGGGAGCCATCATGATGTTAGCTGAGACTTCCTAAAACTCCAGGACATTTCCCAAGCATATCACCTGCATTCACTAAGCTAACTGCCTGTCTTTGGAGACCCATCACCAACCAGTTCCTCTTTGACCATGGCTCCAGGCTCTTTGCCTGCTGCTCCCACAAAGGCACCACCATTCTCAGCCCTGGACCCATGCCAGCCAGGAACAGCATGTTCTTCATTCCAGGTCCTTCTTTAGGTTGATTTCCTCTAGTCTTTTTCCACCTGGAAGGTCTTCTCTTGATCTTTCCTTGACAACCTGGTCCAAGCTCACTTCTCCCCATGAAGCCTCTTGTGACTCCTCCACCCCACAGATTTTTCTCATTCTCCAGGGCTGGAGAGATGCTACACTAGGCTCTATGTCACAGGTAGTGAGCTGAATTGGCCACAAGCTCAAGGCAGGTAAAGCAAGTGTGTGAAGATTCCAGGTGGGTTCTGTGTCATTGGGGGAGTGTGTGAATTCCCAAAGATGCAATGAATCAAACCCCCTGCCTTATAGAAATGCAGGTCCAGCATTGGCAAAAATTTTTGTTTTCAAGAGAAGCTAGATATTTGTGAGTTTTCAATCTTGTCAGTTATTTCAAATTTAAATGAAAAATGTCTGTGGCTAGAAATCAGCCCACAGGCTACCTGTCAATAGCTACTGTTATAATTATTTGAAGTGTGTTATTCTAACCCAACTTTAAACTCTTTCAAGCTAGAGCCATCATATTCTCAAAGCTCAGCACTCAGCACTGGATCTTCTTATATATCAGAGGTTTGGGGCCCATTGGGCACTTGTAGGCTTGGTCTTGCTTCAATCAAGCTCCCCAATCAGACCATATATGTCTTCAAAAACTATCTAAAACATCGTGTTTCCTTCCCCCTTTAAAGGTAAGAAATTTGCATTCTGCAGTTGAATGAATAGACTTTGACTAGATGGGTAAGAGAATAGATAAAGCACACATGGAACACTTTCCCTGCAAACCTTGAAGCAGCTTTGGCTTGTATGAGGAGGAAGCGGAGCAACTGAGTTACATACCTGGCCAATGTCAAGGGCTGGATTTATACTGTAGCCAACATCCATGACGATGTCTGTTCTGATGTTCTAGTAAAAAAAAAGGTTCAACTGTTTATTTTTACTGCAGGTAACTTAGAAGAAGCTGAGGCAACTTCCTGCCTGGCTGGCTTTGGGATAAAACCTTTCTTTGGGTCATATTATTCCAGGAAAGTGAAGCCATGGCAATTTTATTATGTGATTAGGTTTTACTACGTAAAACTTTTAAAGTTATACAAATACTCTTGATCAGCTGAAGCACTATTTTTTTCTTCTTCCTCTTGGAGATGGTAAGAAAATAAAATATTTACTTGATTTTGATTCAAGCTGAGTGATGCAGCAGATTGAGCTTAATCCACTACAACAAATATAACAGATGACATGATAAAAGAAAACATCTATGGCCTTCAGATCCCTATTGCACAACTTTATGGCTACTACACAACCCAGTATCCAGAGTTCAACTGACTGAGTGATGTTTACAGAAACACAGAGTTCAGGATGCAACAACAGAAAGTCTTTGGACTGTAATCTGCTGTTCTAGATTTTTCATTTTGGGAGTGGAGAAGATAATAAATCTGACATTACAGCTTACTCTCTGATAACCTGTAAATGAGGAAAAGAGCAGGCCCAGCCAGGGTGCTGCTAACACCATTTTGCTCTTTAACAAGTCTGTACCTTCTTTGATGTGACATGATGGTCTCTGCCATGACAAAGAGATTCTATTTATAATTATTAATGGAGCAAAGGGAAGTCATCAATTTTCTTGTTTGATCTGGGAGTTTCATCTAACATTTTTCTTAAGAAAATTAGATAATGATTGAGAATGTCCGACTTCAGGTGCTTACCTCTCTTATTAAAAGATACAATGAAATGTAAAATTCTCTTTGGCACCAGTAACAAGACTGCTCTTCCAGGAGGCAACAGTCTCAACTGGAGTTAATAGGAAGCCATCTGAAGTCCAATGTCAGTGAAGGTTCTGCTTTCAGAGGTTTGGACTTGATACAATCTGTCATTGTATTCTAACCAAGCTGGGCAGTGGGTCTAGACTGTGGTATCCTGCCCCCAAGAAGGCCCTCACTTATCCCCACCATCTGGGATTCACATTCTATGTAGTCCTCTCTATTCCTAACTCTCTAGTGTCAGTCTTGTGACCATTAGGATGCAGCAGAAGCAGTAGTACATTTATCTGGGATTAGGTTATTAGGTTATTGCTCTCTCACTTGCTCACAATCTCTTTCTTTTGGACTAGCACCTCTGAGGGAAGCCAGTAGTTATGCCCTGAAGACACTCATGCAACCTACAGACCGGTTCATGCAAGGAATAAACCTCTTATCAATAACAATGTGATGATGTTGAGTGCAGTGGTGCACACCTATAAGCCTAGTTTTGCAGGAGACTAAAGCTATAGGACCGTAAGTCCCAGATCAGCCTCAGTAACTTAGCAAAACCCTGTGTTGAAATACAAAATAAAAAGGGCTGGGGCTGAGGCTCGGGGAAGAGCGCTCCTGGACTCAATCCCTAGTACTGGGTAGGATGGGGGACAATGTGATAGAGTTTAGAAGCAGACTCTCCAGTCCCTACTGAGGCCACCAAAATCTTGACCATAGCCTCATGAGAAACCCTGAGACAGAATCACCTAGCTAAGCACTTCCAGATGTCCAACCCACAGGAGTGGTGTGAGCTAATAAACATTCGTTGTTCTCAGTTGCTAAGTTTAGGAGTAATCCGTTATACAGTGATAGACAACTCATATATAGAATTTTGCAGGAATCAGAGCAATTCTATCAACACAAGAAGAATGGCTGAGAAACATGTCTCCAGGGAAGGCTTTTGGTGGAAAGGCACATAATGGCCTTTTGCCTAGGGGTGACACCTTCCCTGAGCATAGATCAAGCTTTTATGATTAGACTATTTAATACATCTCTTAAGATTGTTCAAATAAGTTATAAGAACATATCTTAAAAGCTAAGACCAAGGTTAATTATTACTTTGTTCTTGGATCTTGACAAGGCCAAGGCATATATACAAGATATAAGAAAATCCAAATGGTTAAATTTTCACTAACTTTCTCTTTGAGGGAAAAGGGATTTAGAAATCAGTTAGTGTGAGAACTCTTCCTGGTGGAGTGGGACAACCACTCTAGCATGAAAGCCATGCTTACAGGGATCACTGTGTTGTCTCAGTCCAAAGTCTCCAAAAGGGAGCTAGTCTGAGTTAGAGCCCAGGCAAGCCAGATACTGGAATAGGCAAGTACAATACAGGTAGACATAATTTTAAAGATCAGATTGACTATAATTTTTAAAACACACATATTGGTGACAAAATAAATAAAAACTTACATGTGAGCACAATTCAAGAATGTAGACCCAAGGGATATTTATTAACATCAAGAATTAAAGCTTGCTTCTGGGTAAGGTTGGGACAGATTAATACTAATAGGTTGGTCCATGACATTAGTGAGAGTTATTCCAGAATCCTTTATTATTATTGATTATGTATTATTATTTATGATTATTGACAGTGACCAGTAAATGACTTCTTTAACTCCAGAATGTCCAAGTACAAAATGACAAACTGAATTCTTGAAGCTGGTGTGTGTGTGTGTGTGTGTGTGTAAGAATCTAAGTGTGCATTTCTTCATAGAATCCCTTTAAAACCCAGGGATGCACTTAAATAATCTAAAAAGAAGGACCTTTTTGTTGTTGTTATTACTAAGGGTGCTTAATCACTGAGCCTCATCCCCAGTCCATTTTCATTTTTTATTTTGAGACAAGGTTTTGCTAAGTTGCTTAGGGCCTTACCAAGTTGCTGAGGCTGGCTTTGAACACACAACCCTCCTGCCTCAGCCCCCAGAACTGTTGGCATTATAGGTGCACACCACCATGCTTGGCAAAAGAAGGACCTTTAAAAAGATTTCAAAAACTGGCTACTGTCTGCCCTTGATTTCTCTGATACAGAGAAATCACCCTTAGCCAAAGGCATGGTGCAGTCACCCCACACTCAATTACACTCCAACACATGACATAGGTGGAGTCTAGATGCATCCTAAGTGCAACCTGCAAAGCTTCCCAGTGGGTACTGACCTTATGATCCCCTGTCAGGCAGTCCACTTCAACCTCTGAACAGGCAGCTCCATAAACAAAGTATTCAAAAGGATGGCCTTCACCTTTCTCCCAGTTCATGTGTGACTCATAACCCCTGAAGGAAACAGAATCTTGAGGTGCATTGTTAAGCAATCAAGTCCTATAATCACAAACCATAATGATCAAACAGACCCATACGGAGCTGTGCAAATCAGAGGGACATATTTGTACAGTGAGAGGCCAGCATGTAAAGCATGTTCAACAAATGTGCTAAGTAAATAAATATTTAATTCTTTCCTCTTCAACTCACATTGTCTGATAAAACACTCAATTACTTCTGACCAGTGAGTGAATCCTTACTCCCATAGGTTCGATATTGACTTTATGATTATTTATCCTATAACCTTTAGCTAATCTTTTTTGTCATCAGATTGGGGGAATCCCATCTGCATTTTACACCAAACACTATTTCAAGGGTGCACAATTGCCTGCTTTGTCTCACTTGCTGGCTTCAAAATTCAACTTCTTTGCAAGAGTTGGGGTGCATGGATCAGATTTCTTAGCTCTCATTCTTTGCCTCTGCCATCTATGATAGCCTGTTCTGTTCCCAACTCTTCTTTCTTTAAGGATACCAGGCAAATGTTAATGATACAGGACAGAAGCTTGCCAGTCCTCTCTAGCCTCTCTACCCTGCTCCTGCAGCTGGAGAAAGCCATTGAAAATGCTCCCAGTGCCTAGTCCCAATGTTTAGTCAGTGGCCCAGAACTCCTACAACAACGGCAAAGTGACAAAATCAGGTAAGACTCACTATATCACCCTGCTCTCCGATGGCATTAATTCTTCACTAAAGTAATTTGATAAATTATTTCCCAAAGTATGCTAGTTCTAATTGCTCCATATCTCAACACCACAGTTATTGTCAAGTTTCTTTTTTTGCTGCTCTAGAAGATGCAAATGGTGTCTATGTTATTGTGCATTTCATTTGCATCCCCACCTTTGTTTCTTAACTTAGGGGTAGATTGTGTTTTCAACAGTCAGTCAGCCACTGCCAGGGGTTCCAAGCACTAACTCCCAGAGAGCCTAACTATTGCACCCAGGATGAGCTGAGTCATTACTAGGTTGAATTTCATTTGTATGCTTATTTTTCCCAGCAAAAGCCTTTCTGGACATGGATTAACTAGCTGCTAAAATGTTCTTTATAATAGTGGATTAATTAAAGATACAAAATCAATACTTTTGTCAAAATTGCAGACAGAACTGAAACTCTTCCTCACAGTACCACTTGCTATTTTCCACAATCACAATACCATTTGCTATTTTCAATCCACAAGTGATTGAAAGGACTACTTACCTGAAGAATCCAATAGCTGAAAGACTGATACTTTCATCAAAAGCAGCCTGTGCCTGTGAAGGAGGAGTACAAGGTGATGTAATAAAGATATCCAAAGAAAGAATCCCTCAAGACTTCAGTTTTAATTTTACTAAGCATTACATTCAGCTACCCAGAGCAATAACTAGGGAGGACAAGATTAATTTATTCCTTTCAGCAATAATTTATTCCTTTTATCACTCCACAGGCATTTGTGGTTCACTGCAGGTGGTAACTACATTTGTTCAATGTGTGTGACTGTAATAAATGACTACTATGGTATGTTACACCTATAGACCAGACTATAATGGGCAACCCATGTTCTGCTTATAAAGAAATTCATTCAGTCATTTGGGAAAACAGCCTATCAACAGAAGGCATTTTAGGAAACAATGGTTGGTTAGATGTTTAATTGTAACATCATGTATCCATAACAGTTTCAGTTGAAGAGAATAATTTTGCTAAATTGCACCATTTTTACTAAAAGGTCTTCTGACTAACAGTGCACACAGTTGGATACTACATAGAAAAATGAGGATTAGGTCCACATCTCCAGGATGAAGAGAGAAGATGAGAAGTGCAACCCATTACAGGAGACAGTGGGCGGATGGCAGCATTCTGCAGTGGACTGCAGAGGACTACTCTGCACTGCATCTCTGCAGCTTCCTCCAGCCACTTTCAGCCTTGCTGGACTCGGGTAGCACCAGGCAGAGAGCAGAAACATTGAAAGCCTTTTAAAGACTTCATATCCTTAAATATGTCCAGAAAAGACCGAAAGCTTCCATAAATATGAATCACAGAGTTAGTCCTTACTCTATCAAATAGCAGGAACATTTGTCGGGGGTGCTGGGAATTGAACCCAGGGCCTTGGGCATGCTAAGCATGCACTCCATCCTGGGCTATACCCCCAGCCCTGGAATCATGTAAGTAGATTCCCTAAATATTATCTCACCAAACCTGTGTTTTGATGTTGCAAAGCTGATATTTTAGAATAGTATGACAATGGAATATTACACAGCATATGCTCCCAGTGTTTATGGATGTCTATTCCATACCATCTGATACTTTATACTCTATTATTTTGAAAAGTTCGCTAGTTGACTTGAGAATGTATATTCTCTTCCCACTAGACTGTAAGTTGATCAAAGGAAGCAGCTGAAGGCCTACTATTTCTAAATGAGTGCCTAAACGATTTTTACTTTTATGGAATGATTCCAGTGCTGTTTTTCTATTTTAGGAATGGTGAAACCTGAAGAAAACACATTGACAGATGTTATCCAAAAAATGCCTAGGTTCCATAGAATGAAACATTAATTAATTCTAGTTTACAATGAAGCAGTGGTGGTGCCATTTGGAGTGCCTTCCTGAAGACATTTAATTCACACATATCCCTCTCACACACACCCTCCTGTTTTTCTAACATAAAATACAGAGAACCAGTGATTCTCACCCAGTCCTTCCAAGTTCCTTGAGGATTCTTGCTGATGATGGGTTCAAGGCGTTTTAGAAGAGTTTGACAAGCATCCTAGGGGTTATTTTTTAAGTTAAAAGATGATAACAATTTCATGAAAACACCAATTTTAAAACAACATGATATGTCATCCCATAGGCTTATCTGAAAGGTCACAGGAAGATAAGTAAGAGACCAACCCTGTAAGAGGATGCTGTGAAAGATCTCACATGGGTACACACCACACGTGTGTCAATGGTGAACAGGGCTTCAAGATGGTGACCTTGGAAGCCATGCTAAGTCAGCGTCTCACAGAAAAACTGTGGGCAAACCACTGACCACTGTCTTCAAACAAGGTCAGATTTCATTTGTGGGAAAGTTCATTCAGGTAGCATAAGACAGAGTGAGAGGAATGAAACTGGAGTAAGAGACAGAAGTCTCACCATGACCCAGGCAAGAGGTGAGAATCTGACTCAAAGAGATATTAACACAATATGGAAATGAAAGATATAAAGACAGTTTCAGGTAGAATTAAAAGGACTTGCTGGCCAGCAAAATGTCAAAAGTGAGGGAGTGTGGAAGCAACCTAGATGCTCTTCAATAGATAAATTGATAAAGAAACTATGGTATATATACACAATGGAATATTACACAGCATTAAAAGAGAACAAAATTATGGCATTTGCGGGTTAATGGATGGAGTTGGAGAATATCATGCTAAGTGAAGTAAGCCAATTCCAAAAAACCCAAAGGCCGCATGTTCTCTCTAATAAGTGGATACTGATCCATAAGGAGGAGGGAAGAGGCATGGAAAAAAATTGAGGAACTCTGATTGGCCAAAGGGGAGGGAGAGGAGGGGAGGGGGAATGGGGGCAGGAAAGATTATGGAATGAGATGAACATCAGTACACTAGGTACATGTATGACTGCACATATGGTATGACACTATATTGTGTACAACCATAGAAATGTAAAGTTGTGCTGCAGTTGCATACAATGAATCAAAATGCATTCTTCTGTCATATATACCTAATTAAAATAAAGAAAAAACAAAAAATAAAAAAAAGTGAGGGAGAAAAAGGTGGCATTTCCAGTATAGGAGAACTGTGTGCTGTGCCGCTGACTGAGCCCAAGAGTCGGGTAGGAGATAAGAAATGGATGACTCAACAACATCTTCTGAGCTCCACTCATGTATTTGGTGCTAGAGGGCTTAATGATTTTGATGCCACTACAGTGACATTTACCTTTACTGCCAACCCATTGAGATCTGCCACTACGGATCCTCCAGAGATATTTGTATTAGGAACGGTTTCCGTGCTTGTTCCGCGCAGGTGGACATTCGACATTGGCATCCTTAACTCCCGACTGGCCACCTGGATTTTAGAAGAGAGTTTCTTTTCAAACACTTTGGTGAGCTGTAGATCTGTGCACATGCCCAGGTGGTACAGTATGTATGTGAAGCCCTTTTACACACCACGGGCACAAGGAAGCAGGACCATAAATGCCTCCCTCCAGTCACAAAAGTTTGTCTCTTCTAAAAGTCCTATAGTTTGTTCAGGCCCCAAGTTATGAAGACACTTTATTTTCTTTGACTTCCTCATGTGCAATAGCATCAGGAAGAGGAGGTAAGAAGGACCCAGGCCAAAGCAGGAGGAACTGCTCTACTGGTGTCTTTATAGTCATGAAATTAATGCCTTTGAGGCTGCTCATCCCACCATACTGCAAAATTCTAACGAAGTCAATGTTATCAATAATAAATGCTTATCTACTGTGCACATAACTGTAGATGCTCCATGAAAAACATCTCTCCTGAGACTGGACAATGGCTTTGAAAAAGCAGCAACATAGACATCACAAAAGAAGAGGATAATGCTGGGGTTGAGTGTCAACATGAGAGCTTAGTAGGCTGCTTTGTTCTTCACTTTTAGTGCTGGAGACAATTATATTGTGAACTCTAGTTAATCTAAAATTCTCCTCTTTCCTGCTAGCAGTACAACTTAATAGAACTTGCCCAACACTCCAAGGACATGGGTACATGGAGCTCTTCCACAATCCTTGGCTCTCAGCAGAGCATGGGCACAGAGTGCACAGGCTCACAAGGTAAAGGTGTCTTGTGGTCTCATAAGGAAAACATTAAAATCTCACCCACAAATGGGAAAAGGAATGACCAGACAATTCTCAAGTGATTGCAACATAAAAGAAAATATGTACTCAACATGTCTATAATTAGAAAAATGTAAAGTAAAACAATAATGAAGCATTTTCATTTATCTAGCAAATTATCTAAAATTTTTCAACAATCCATCATATTTAGTGTTTGTTAGGATATGATAAAATGGATGCTTTCTGGAAAACAATTTGGTAATACATGTCAAGCAATTTAAAATACTTATATCCTGTGACCTACTAATTCTATTTCTGTAAGCTTTTTTGAGAAAACAATTACTTGTAGGATCATAGGGTAATGTACAAAAACATTAATTGAAGTGTTCAACAACTGGAGATAGTTAAATAAATTACACATACACCCACATGCAGCCATTAAAATCATGATTGTTAAGAATTCTTAATGACAGGAGGAAGTGGTCACTAAAAAGTACATAAATAACATGTCAGTAATCTTTTGAAAAAGAAAAAAAAGGCAAAATTCAAAGATGCCAAAATGGCAAAATTATGTAGGATCTTCCCCCCCCAATTTTCTGCATCTTTGACGTTTTATAGACTCTAATATTATGATCATAATTAGCAAAATAGAAACAGTAGCTTCAAATTAATCTAAAACAAGTGAGCCAAAAGAAAACCATTAGAGTTTGGTTAGAAATACTAAATGTTATTTGTATTATCAATTGTTCAGAGCCCTTACCATAAAAAGGGCAAGAAATAAAGCAATAAGTCAGAATTTGCAAATCTTTTTATTGCCTAGCAAAGATTTGAAAAAATACAACTCAGTTGTTTATATATATATATATCAACAAATAAAACATGACATTCTTTTAAATAAAAAACTTGAGTCCCTTCTACTATATTTTTTTTAGGGCCTCAGTTATAAAATTGGTTTATCTACCCAGTTTCTGCTCATAACTTAGCAGCTTATCTATCTCTTATCCTTTAATTTGGAACAGAAAATATACATTCACAGTTTTCTTTCATGAATTTAATCAGTGAGGACACACCCAACAGAATACAGTTATTGGTACTCTTACCTGAATCATTTTAGTATGAACACCCTGCCCCATTTCAATCCCGCCATGAGTGACCAGCGCAGAGCCATCCAGATAAATGTGAACCAGGGCAGCAGCCTAAGCAGAAGAGATGCAAGCAGATGAAACAGAAGAGAATTTTTTTTTGACTGGTATTATCACATATCATGTCAATAAAAATGCTTTCCTCAGAAATGATCCTTTTCCTTCCATCCTCCCTAGACCCTGCCAAATATATGCACAACCAGAGCAAAGTCATGGCAATGGTGGGGCAAGCAATGCCTTGTGATCACCACACAAGAAGCCATACTGTCCTAGGTGGGTCTGGGTCTGAGGCAGGACTATGCACCTTAAGTTACTGTTTCTTAGTTAGGGCCCTTGAGCACATGGGTATCTCTAGGGGCCCCTCTCCCTGCCTCGGAGTGGAGCTTGGGGTCATATATGTGTGCACGCACAAGCCCTCCATTTAAAAATGCTCAGTTAAATATATGTAGGTTGAGGGAGACAGATAATATTCTCATAGTTGTAAGCATACTGCAGAGAAGAAAAAATGAAAACCCAACTAAGAAGGACAGACAGACATGATTTGTTTTTCTTCAAAATGAGCTAAGCCCATCTTAATTCATCTTGGCACAGAATTACAAGCTTTGGATTTGAAAAGAAACTTGCAAGGAATCTTATCTAATTATATAGCTTCCCACAAGGACCCAGAAGCAACCAAACTGCTAACAAAATTAAAGGTTCCACTAGAAACACCAGTCTGCAAGCTAAATATGCTTTACCATGAACAAGAATGTGCTTTCTTGCAAGCCTGAAGGTGCTAAAGTATGGAGCCTCTAGTCCAGGGGACTGCAGAAAATAAGGATGACTTCTTCAGGGAGTCTCCAATATGAAAGTAACATCAACACCATACAGTCTACAGTCTAAGTGCTTTCACCTGGTTTCACTGTGTTCTAGGAAGGCCTGAGAGGCAACCTGTGCAGCTGTTCATGGGGGTGTGGGTGACCACCACTCGTGGGTCACTAAGGCTCTGTGAGCTGGGTTCCTTAGTATCTAAGTTTCTGTACAGAGTGGCATAATAATCTATGATTTGAAAAGAAGATCTTCAGAAAATTCTGGTAATTTCTGCTTGATGAACCTCATATTTTATTACTATTATATTATGATTTACCTACTTAGATTACTTAGAAGCAACCCTGGTTATAAGTGAAAGTTAAAGGAATTGCAGTCAATCACCAGATAAAACCAAGAAAAGGATTGTATTTCTCGGCCAATTCTCTGCCCAACAGAAGGACCTTCACAGACATTTTTTGGGCTGTGAACCACACTTGGGGAACAGCTCTTTTTTGATATCCAAAGGTTCACATTACTCCAGTGACAACCAGAAGCCCCTACCATTCCAAATATGACACTTTGGACAATAAAAGTAGATTTTTCAGCTAGTCAGCAGGTGTAAACTGGGGATGTATTGTCAAAATGGGGACACCAAAGTACACTTTCTCTAAGAACAAAGGCACATATATTCATGGTCCAATGGAGAATTTTAGACTCTTGTGCCATAATAATCATGTCTGGGGCCCTGAGAAGATGTAATGGGTGATTTACTGTCAACTAACATATGACTTCACCATCCTGTGCTCCTGGCTGCATGATAAAGAGAAAGAGCGGTGTCCTCTACCGATGGCCCAGAACTGGCTGCTCTGGGGGTGTGCATCAGATGCCAGGTGGTGCCTAATGTCAACAGTCACTTCTGGGCTTTCTTCTATTGCACTTGATTGTACCTTGCTGGCATGTGAGCCCAGGAGAGGTAAGAGCTTGTCTTAAGGCATCCCTTGAAATGTGGGGTGGTGTCTTGCCTGTGGTAGGTCCTCAAGAAGTATCCAATGAATGAATTTGCAAGAGCATAGTGATTTGATTTGTTTCTTAAGTTTGCAGACTCTGTATTTGGCCTCCTTGACTCTGCCAAGCACGGATGGACTTAGCACCTGTGACTAAGCTGCAATTACAGAGGATTGTGCCTGTCCTCCATTGTGTGAACCTGCTGGTGACTGCGCTCTGCCTGTGGGGTTCGGGCAGTATTTCTATTGTAGACCCTGATTAATTTGTTCCATGTGGTGCTGCAATCTCCTCAGGCTATTAAAAATGTCAAATTTGGTTCAGTTAAGTGGCACCACTGGATGGTTCATTGTTAGACCACAAAAGATAATTCCACAAAGCTTCATCTACAAAATTGGCACAACTGGAGCACTGGAACAGATGGCTCTCCATTATTAATAGAGAACTTAGTTGATACAATTTAAATCTTCAAGCTATGACTGCTAGTATTGGTGAAAAGTTAGTTCTAATCCTAAGATTCCCCAAATGCACAACCATTCAACAATGCACAACCATTGCCAGGTGCTGTAGCAAGGCCCCAGAAACACAGAAGTTAATTAGATACTGTCTGTGTCCTTCAGTGTTCCCACTCTAGGAATTAAGCCTACTGTAGGTGAGTTACATAGAACTCCCTCAGCTGGTGCTTCTGCTTAGGGAGGCAGTATGGGACAATGAAGACCCATGGGACCTGAGACCAGGCATGTGCAGGTCAAATCTTCCTTCTGCCACTCCTTACTGCATGTCCTTGGGCAAGAGAGCAAATCTCTACCAACTTCAGTTTCCCCATCTATAAAACAGAATCACACGTACTCAGTAGAGACAAGATCAGGGTAATCAAGTGGGAGATTACAAATCCCACCTCAGGGCCTTCCGCAGAGAAGGCGCTCAAATATTTCTAGCTCCCTTCTCTATTTTATTTGCTTTAGAACAGAATCTTTCAGGTTGTGTCTTTCGGGAAGCAGTTTGTGACTGATCTCAAACTCTTTTGATTTAGTCCTAAGCAAAGCTTTTGAGCACACAGCAGTTCTCTGGCAAAGGCTTCCCAGTAGCCTCTGAGAATGAATTTGTATTGCTGGCTCTCATCTAGTTTCTTCTCGGCCGAGCTGAATCCCAGCTCAGTTCCCATCAAAAAGTGCTCCAGGCAGAAGGTTTCAGAAGCTGCCCAGACCCGAGTTCCAGCCCTGGCTTAGCTTCTACTAGCTGTGGGACTTTGGGCAAGATATTTAAACTCTTTGAGTCTTAGTTTTCTTATTTATAAAATGAACATACAAACCTTATAGGCTGCCCTGAGGGTTGGATGAAGTAAAATCTTAAAGGACTTATAACAGTGGGTACTCAACTATTATTACTTTCATCTACTTTTTGAGAAATTTCTGATAAGGGAAATGATACAGACCTGGTCTACAGCAAAGGCTAGCCATTAAGTAATGGAAGCCACTAATTAGAGGCAGCCTGCCATGTTTCCCCACAGCCTAACACTCAAGATTGCCAGAGGATACTGGGTTTGGTGGCACACACTCAGTGGCTCTGGAGGCCGAGACAGGAAGATCTCAAGTTCAAAGCCAGCCTCAGCAACTTAGTGAGGCCTTAAGCAACTTAGCCAGACCCTGTCTCAAAATAAAAATTAAAAATGGGCTGGGGATGTGGCTCAGTGGCTAGTTCAACACCCGGTAACAAAAACCAAAACAAGAAAAGATTGCCAGAAGACCCATAAACAATAGAGTTGAGTTTCTTGACAATCCTGTCCAGTCTGCTTAAGGACTGACTAACTTCTTTGCTATCTGCCAGCTAATAAGTTTAACCCCAAATTGTATACCAAGATTCATTATTCACAAACCCTTTTCTCAGTTGCAGTCCTCTCCCCCACTTCCTTTTTAATAACTTTGTTTTTGCCTTTGTTCCTCAACAATGGCCTCTTGAATATCTCCACCAACCCACTTCCCTGCTGTCTGAGTAAATTGTGTACAGATGGCTCTCTGTTACTTTCTGTCACTGCAAATAGGCAAGGAATAAAAAGGCTGCAGTAGGACAACCACTTGTAATGAGCAGCCACTTGCCTACAATCAAAGCTGCATGAAAATGGTATAAAGATTACACCAAAGTTCAGCTAGGCTAGTTAGGTGTATGGATGGACAAGGGAATGGGGCAGGGACTTTTTACCACTTTTCCTGTCTACTTCCTCAACCTATTCACTAATGCTCCTCCCACAATCTATCCACCCTTATTTTTTCCTATTGCATCTTCACTTAACACACCTGCCACTATACCTTCTTCATGGCTCATTTGAAGTGTGAATCCTGCAGAGGAAGAACCACTAAGCTCTGTGAGGACCCTGCTGGATATCTACATACATGGAAATTTACATTATGGAAGAAGAGAGAAAATGGCAGTCTGCATCACTGCTGCCCTCAGTGAGTCAGAATACAGCAGCTCTTTGCTAGCTGTTAGGGGTATTTTCATTCCAGAATGAAGAAGTGGAAATAGCTAGTGGGATTTAGCAACCAAGCAAGGGGATTTATTTAATCAGTTAAAGAAACTATAAGAGCATATTCCCAGTCTTTCTCTTTATACTTTTAATAGCTAGGAGGGGGTACAAACTCCTAAATTTGTGTTTAAAAGTTATTGAAATGATTTACTTTTCTGGGTTTAGTTTACTGCAATCCACCCATGGGAGTTGAGGCACCCCAACACCTTGCAAGCCTCCATTTCCATTTCCTCTCCAGAGACACAGAACCACAATAGATGGAGGAGTCCTGGAAGTCATTGTTCCTACCCTCTTACTTTCCTCATGAGCCATCTGGGGCCCAGAGAAATCGTCTCAGCTGCTTTTTGACAGGGCCGGGAGTAAACCTCAGGTTTCCCAATTTCCCAGCAAGAACGTTTTCACCAACCATGGGAGCATAGGCAGAGGAGCTCAGTCTCCTCTGGAGCAAAGCTGATGTGACTAAGCACAACTCTGGTTAAGTTTAGCAACTGGAGACAGCAATCACGTGGCTGGTGCAACAGAACGGAAAGTTCCTTCCATGCTCTTTGTTTTGCCTGGGCCACCTCCAGATGGCACGCCCCTGTGTTTGAACTGACCTGAGCGAAGGCAACAGAGCCAACTCCAACAGGATACTTCAGGGGAACCATGGCCAGCCCTTTCTTCTTCCAGTAATTCTCCGCATTAAATTTTTCCACGGCTGCTCTCCTCACGGAGAAGGAAGACTTGGCCATACATTCTTTCCAACACTGGCTGAGATTCTTGGCATTAATCTCTTGTTTGTAGGGTGTCTGATCTATTTCTTTGTACATATTTATCATTCGAACCTAAGAAAGGAGATTAAAAGTGAAAGGAAATCAGAATGTATGGTCTCATCCATGCACCATCTTCCTAGTCCAATTCTGCCCATCTTGTGTGGTCCAAGCTGAGTTCTCCCTGGTTCTTGCTGAATGAAACCTTTCACAAGACACTGAATTCTCCTCTTCCCCACCTGGAGCATCTATCAATGATGTGAGCAATGACTTGTATGTTTCTATGCTGTTCTTGTGCAAATTTAAAGGAAGGAATCCTTCCCTTAGATTTCTTTATCTCAACACTATCCAGATCCACTCAATTCTAGTTGCACTTGTGGGTATCCGTTGAAAGTATCTGGCTAAATGATTTGGTTTATTCAAATGCTGTGTCAAAATAAGACTTACTTCCAAAACAAACAGGAAAGTTTGTTTACATATAACTCACATCTAGGAAGAAGAACAAATTAGAAGACTCTATTCCAAGATATCTGATGAGCTGAGTACAATTCTTTCATCACAGAATTGGCAATGAAGACTTCCCAGTTGAGAACAAAAGATGCCAAGTACCTTACATTCTCAGCTGAGAAAACTCACAGTTGTGGCCAGGCCCCTCTCCAAGCTGACAGGGGCTACTACAGAGACACTTGCCTCATTCTATCCCCCCTAAAACTCTCTCAGATCATTATTAGAGGAAGACTAGGAATTAGTGAGCTGAGCCATTGCAGGGAAAGCAGAGTTTTTAAGAGGTTATTCTCTGGAACAGGAAGGAAGGTCTTCACATGATTCTCCTCCTTCATGCTACCAAGTATGACAGAACATCAAAGAGAGAAGCTGGGTGGGGGGACAGGAAGGGAGGAACAAGTTCCAGAGACAAGGATGACTCCTATCTGTGGCTATAGAGTCCAACACTGTGAAATCTAGAGGGGAAAGTAGGTACATGAATTGGGGACTGGGGCATGGGGCAAAGAGGTTTGGTCACTAGAGGAATGCTAAATGAAGTGCCAAAGAGAGGACAGCACTCACTGGCAGAAGTCACATGGGGAGGGGCCATTTGTCTTCCCAGGTCCTCCTCTTCTTCCTCCCTGCCCCAGTGTCACAGCAGAAGGAACAAGGGAGGGCGGGAAGAAAGCTTACCACATCTCCCCACCCAACTCCACTCTACGATCTAAGGGTGGAAGAGGCACCAAGGAGGGAAACATCCTTGATGATGACTGGGCTGAGACTCAAAAATCACCCAAAGAAAATCATGTTAGCCACTGAAATGACAAACTTCATGACAGCCGCTATCACATTAAGGAAAGAAGACTTTGACAGAATTTGGTGGTAGGGATTATATACCTGCTACAGTTGGATGTGGTTTGATCCCCCCAGAGTTCATGTGAAATCTTGGTCCCCAATAATAGTGGTGTTGAGGTGGTGGAAACCATCAGAGATGGAGCCTAGTGGGTTAAGTCATTGAAGGGTGCTGCCCTCTGAAGACATGAAGGTAGTTCTTATGGGATCCTGGTTAGTTGACATGAGAGTGAGTTATCATAAAAGAATGAGCCTGACCCCTGAAGTCAACACCAGGCTCTTGAATCTCTACAACTGTGAGCTAAATAAACCACTGGCATTTTGTGTATCAAAGGAAAATAAACTAATAGAACCCACCAACCAATGGAAAATTCTCACTAAACAGGTAAGAATCTATTGCTTACTCCTCAGTGTACCCTGTTTCCTGGATTTTTGAGAAGATATCTGGGTATAGCAAGCAACATTGAACTTTGGTGTCCTGGCTCTATATTTGCCAGTTGGCTAGGTGACCTCAGGCAAATCATATATCCCTTTGGATCTCAAATACCTCAAACTGAATGATTCTCAAAGGCCCTCCCACCTCGGATATTCAACACCTTTTATATGCAAGACTAAAACAGTGTTACCTTCTCAGGGGACAAACCGCATTTGGCCGCAACTTCTACAATACAGGACTCGGTGATCAGCGCTGCCTGAGGAAAGCCAAACCCACGCAGAGCTGTGTTGGAGGGAAGGTTGGTTCGGCATGCCCAACCTCGGCAGCGCAGGTTGGCAAACTTGTAAGCATTGTCCATTTTCAGAAGTCCCATTTCTATCACCTAGAGAAATCCAGAGTTGGTGTGATAAGGGCCTTGTCCTTCTGGACCTGTTTGACCATCCTGATATCTCAGACCAAATCAGGCTGGAAACAGCATCCTCTCTTCATATCACATCATACATGCTAAAAATATGCCATGCTCCCAATTAAAATGCATTTTACTGTTAAATTATTCTAAAGAATTTGAATCATTTTCTTTTAAAATTATTATTTTAGTATTTCTAAGTTTTAGAACAAATGTATTATTATTTTTTTAAAGAGAGAGGGAATTTTTTAATATTTATTTTTTAGTTTTTGGCAGACACAACATCTTTGTTTGTATGTGATGCTGAGGATCGAACCCAGTGCCACGCACATGCCAGGCGAGCGCGCTACCGCTTGAGCCACATCCCCAGCCCCAAATGTATTATGTTTAGGCTTCAAATATTTCCAGAAGCCTTGGAAATGTTCATAGGCCCTAAACACTGGGGTCTATGCATTCTATAGAAGGCAGTATTCTGGAAAACAGGGAAAATGAGAGGAGGGGGGTTGGCATTTATTCCTCCATCAGGATTAATCCCTCCCTCCACCTCCTGAGAACAATTGGTGAGGTCTGGGGCTAGTTTTGGTAATTAAGACTGGGGTGTGAGCCCACCAGTGACATTTACTGAGTAGAGGTCAAGGATGCCCACACATCCTCCTTTGTATAGGGCAGCCCCCACAAGCAAAAGATATCAGTCCAAAATGTCAGTCCAGCCAGAGAGGAGAAAGTTGGTCAATGCTTGCATCTGAAAACAGATCTAAGTATGGAAGAACAGAAATAGCACACATATGGAGACTTAGCCAAGATCTCTGGGCTTACTCTGTGGGTGCCAGTGAGTGACACTAGGCTATCCCTGCAATGATGGACTCTATGCTTTTATAATTATATATTATTTAATGATTGAACATTTTTCTGACATAAATCATATTACATAATACTCTTTGAAAAATGCAAGAAAGCTTGCTTTTTAAAACACTTACCCATAATGATTCATCGAGGGAACTGCCCCCGTTGTTATAGTGCTCCATGTCCAGGGCCAAGATTCTGCCATCGTTCATGAATCCAACCTGTGCAGAGAGAGCTGATCTCTGATACTGACACTAGAAATTAAATATCTAAAGTTTACTTTGTCACTTGTGAACTCTCCACATATGGAAAAAACTTTATGATGTAGACTTGGCAATAATTTCTTGGATATAAAACTAGCTCTGTGACCTTGGAAAAGCCATTTACCCTCTTAGACTATTTGTGAAATGGAAATAAATAAAGTAATACATGGAAAATTACAGGCACATAAACAACACACAGCAGATGTTCTACATATAAATTATTAATATTACTATTATAAATATTAATATTATCTCTTGTTCTCACACTACTCTCCATTGGAAAACATTATCTTCTCATAGTTTTAGTCACCACAGTGGTGATAACGTCTATAATTATAATCTAGTCCTTTCAACAAAGTCCCATATTGGTGAAGGACATTTCTGTTTCAATGTCCTATCGTCACTTCTTCTCCAACATTTACACAAACCAGCTCATTGTCATTCCAGGTTGGTTCTCATTCCAACTCGACTCTTTCTTCTAAAAATTTCCAAGTCATGTTTGTGGTTTTATTTTCCATTGTATTTTGCCAAATTTTTCACCAAATCCTATCTTATTTTACAGAATAATGACTCTTAGACTCATCTCTTCTGCCTCTTACTATCATATCAAATGCCTCATGTCTGAATGCATTAGCTGCTTTCTACTGGTCCATCTTCCTCTCTCAGGCCATCCTGCACTTTCTCATCATATTACCCTCACTGATGCACCCATGTTTAGTTATGGCACTTGACTGAGCAAGAATCTATTCAGTCTTCCTTTTTCTTGTGAGAGAGTTTAAACTCCCCATTTTGGAACTTTAGGCCCCTCTTGGTCTTGTATTACATCTTATTTACACTACCTTCTGGTAATTGCTCTGTGTTTTAATGCACCCCTCCCCTTACCCCTACCCCTATCAAACATGCCATGCTCATTCCACCTCTGCATTATTGGTTCTACCACCTAGTATGCTTTTTTTTTTTGGTACCTATTCATTCTTTAAGGTCCATTTATGTTTCACCTGTTCTAAGAAGTCTTCTGTACATACTCCAACTTATATTCACCTCTCTTCATAGATTTGCTACATGTACTTTACCTTTTAACCTTCAATTTTTAATGTTTGCATAATGATATCATATGTGTAAGTTTTATTCCTCTCCTCCTTCCCCCAAAAATAATCTCCTCAAAACAAAGTTCACTCTAGCAAATTCTTTTGAACTAAACTGAATTCAAAATGTAGCTTAGAGTAAAATAGATTTGTTTGCTAGTTTCTAAAAATATGTGTTCAGGGAGACATTTGTAGAGACCATGATACACATTCAACAAATCCTGTGGTCCCCATCCTGTGCACACAGGAAGATGTATTTCCAGCTACCTTTTTAGTTAGGGGGCCAAGTTCTGGCCAAAGACACCAAGGTCCTTGCAAGGTCCACCTCTTACTGACCTGGTGTGAGAAATACCTTCCACATCACTCCATGTGCTTTCTCTTTCCTTATCTACTGCAGAAGACCCTACAGAGGACTCAGTGTCCTTGGGCAGAGTTATTCAGTAGAACTTTCTGTGATGATGGCAAGGTTCTGTGTCTGTACTATTCGATCCTAACCACATGTAGCTATTGAGCATTTGAAATAAAGCAAATGCAACTATGGAACGGAATTTTAGTTTAATTTAGTTCACTCAAATGTGAATTTCAGTGGTCATTCAAATGGCCTACTGGCTACCATATTAGATTCTGCAATCCAAAGGGATGGTGGTAGCACTACTTGAAAAAAGCTTGAGTCTCTGAATAGTTTTGTGGAACAGAGTCCTCCTTCCTCTAACCTCTGCTGATTACACTGGGCTATTACTTGACCAAGAAATAGCATAATAAAGGCTTAAACTCCTGAGAGTTTTTAGTTGTTAAAGTAGTTAGCTCACTTTGATAAGTAAAACTACCTCTTTTAAAGCAAAATAATAATCATTTTCTAGTATGGAAAGTTTTCTAGGAATTTCTAGAGCACAGTTTTACAAAAATACCCTTGATATGTTAAAAAAGAGGACTCCATTTGCAAATAAATGCAATTTCACATAACACCATTGTTATGAGAATTATTCTATTTTTTACCTCTTTTATTGTGTGAGTGAGTAGTTATTAGACCTACTTTCATAGACACATATGCTCACAGGTTTTCTAATTATTCACTGTGTAATGTCCAATGCCAGCTAGTCCTTTTTCTCCAATTGACATCTTTGAGTGAAACAGAAAAGCTTCATTGAACCAGCCAGTAATTAAACAATCAGCACAAGGAACAGAAAGTTAAATAGACGCGCCATTTGTTAATTTGTTCATTGTTACTCCCCATTAGGGAAGAGATAAATGCCGCCTCTGCATTTCTGTCATGTTCTGTTTGTAGCAAATCCTTCCCTCCACCCATCTTCTGCTCACTTTGTACTTTGCAAAGTATGGGTTTCGGCCTCCAGTTATCAGCATGTCTTCTCCTCGTTCCAGAACACAGCGGACTGCACGACCATGTCTGAAACAGAAAAAAGGCATGAGAGGTAAATTCTTACAATGAAGGTTATATAGCTCCTAGTGAGACCTTGAGTGGCATTCACTCACATCACAAAACACAGAACTACTACCCACACTTGGCCTCTGCTGACCTCCAGGAAATGTGGTAGCCTCCCCTCCCTTTGGTGAGATCATGACATCTGGCATTTGCTACTTGTCGAGGAAGTCTCCAGGGTATTCAAGGGGACATTTCCCTTTGTCATAAAGACCTCTGGCTATAGGTAAAGTCTCAAGGCCACACTTCAATCTGGTTACAAATGGAGGAACACAGGTGGGGCCTGACTGCCAAGTACTCCCAAATAGGACAGGTCTAGAATCAAGGTTTCTGCTCCTGGGTTAAAGGAACTGACCTACATTACTCTGCAAAGGAATTAAGCCTTTTAGATGTGCCTCCTCCAAAGACAATTTCTTGACCAAGAAATAACATAATAAAGGCTTAAACTCCTGCAAGTTTTTAGCTGTTGGAGTAGTTATCCCACTTTGATAAGTAAACTACCTATTTTAAAGAAAAATAATAATTATTTTCTACTATGGAAAGTTTTCTAGGAATTTTTTATTGGTCAAGAAATAATTGGTATTATTATTATTATTTTTTAGATTCTCAAAGGAAAATGACAATATAAATAAATAAACCTAACAAAAGCAAAGTCTGTTTAAATCAATCAAGAAAATATACACTTAAGCATACTTATACACATTAACTATACACACTTTAAAAATGTGTGTGTGTGTGTGTGTGTGTGTGTGTGAGAGAGAGAGAGAGAGAGAGAGAGAGAGTGTGTGTTTACCTCAAAAGGTCATACACATTCTTCTAAAGGTCTAACAGGTGCTAAGAACAAGTAGCCCCGTTCATTCAGGATCTGTTTCTGTCAACTTTCCAGGTATTCTAATGATTTTCTGTGGCTTTCATTCTTTTTAGTAATTGATTTTTATTTTGGTTCTTATATGAATATAGCTTGACGATACAGACAAAGAAGTTGCCATAAGCTGGAAGCTAATTTGGGTGCTTGTATATCATGTGTGATTTTTAAATAATCTTGGCCTAGATTCTTCCTCATTAATCCTGATACTGAAATTTTCAGTCTGACTTTATTTTTAATATATTCAGAAAATTTTTCTCCACTTACTTGCTGGCAGCAAGCGCAGTGATGGCTGCCATTGTGCTGGTTTTGAGCACCTTTCCCCCAAATGCCCCACCGACGCGTCTTACGTGACACATGACCTTATTAGCTGGGACCTTCAAGACTGAGGCAACTACATCCTGTAAATGATAACAGATTTCATTAATCTGATCTATCTTCAGCAAGGACTTAATTGTGACCACCACGCACACCCATAACCTTAGCAAAAAGAAACTGTTCCCTGAAACAGGAGTGTGACAGCCACTTTACATTTTGATTCCATCATATTGTATATGCTACATAAACTGTGTGGCGATGCTAAATGATTAAAAAAAAAAAAAGCCCAAGAACCTTAGCATACATCCCCAGTTGATCTCAGCAATATTTGGCTACAATGGCATTGCCAAAACTATTATTAAATAATTCTTGCAATAACAATGGATAATTAGGGACTATCATTTTTTTTTGCCTGTTTTCCCCATGAAACACCCAAAGTATCCTTTTCACACTATCCCTAGGGATGTGTTTCCTGAAGCTGTAAGATTCTGTGGCTTTCTGAGCCTCTCCCAGCTTGGATGTTTCCCTTCATTCTGCTGTCTCCACTGAAGCATGCACACTTCTCACCCCATCTGTATTACTGTGAAAGTGGACCCTTTGGTCTTCCCTGGATGCAGGTGCTATTCTTTATGCTTTGAGGTCTTAGTCTTAACAACTGATTTTGACAGATGGGGTGCCTGAGATAGACGGGCCCAACATCACACAGGGAGTGAAGAGCAGATGGAACTGGAACGGAGTTCATCTGACCCTTTCTTAGTGTTCCAACTTCTGTGAGGCGTCATTTTCCACTGTCCATACTCTGTTTCCTGCTCTTCTGGTAATAGCACTGGCTCTTTTGAACCTGCTGGATCAAGACCCTTTGCTTTCCTTACTTTCACTCTGATGCTTACACCTAACCTCCCTGTCTTGCACTCTCTATCCCAGCTCAGAAAGTCATCGTGCTGTTCCTCCTTGCTGGCATGCATGTTGCCAGAGAGAGGGGACATAAGCAACAACTGTTTGCAGAGGATATGAGTAGTGAATAGATGAGTGGCATTTGATCTTGCTGTGAAATGGCATGGAAATGCCCTCTCTTCTCCTACCATCTAGACAAACTTTACTCTGACTATAAATCCAGATTTAAGGCTCTCTCTCTCTCTCTCTCTCTCTGTGTGTGTGTGTGTGTGTGTGTGTGTGTGTGTGTGACAGAGAGAGAGAGAGAGAGAGAGAGAGAGAGAGAGAGAGAGAATGAATATCCTGGGTCATTCTAGCCCTCAACAAACCCCTCTTTCTCTTCATTCCTCCACTCACGTAAATTTTGACTTAACTGATTTAGCACCTTGATATACTTTTCCCAATATGGCTCCCTAACTGTTTCTTGAGAGTTGGGTACTATAAGCTAGGGAAGATAGGCCTTTCTCTTTTTTCTCAACAGTACTAAGGGCAGAGCAAAAGAGACCTGCTGATTACAAAAATAGTTTTAAAGTAATAGATCTATAAACAACAACAAAAAAAATAAAGTTTGGAAATTACATGGCTCTTAATTCCCTAATCAATATAGCTACTAGTACTGAATATTTCCTTGGTTCCTAAAGAAATGACATTTTTGTGCTTTGTACATTTGATCCCGTGACTTTTCTGACAGCCTTCACAATGGCCCCATATTACCTGTATGTATTTAGGACTCTGTGTAGACACATAGACATCTATTTCTTGATCCTCTCCTTTGGGAACAACAAGCATGCTCTGGGTTTCCATATAAAAATGTTCTTGACCTCCAATGTGTATTTCACCTATTAAAGGAAAATTCTTGGAAGTGAAGGAAGCATTCACAAAGAACAGCTAGTGCCCCCCAGCTATATCCTGTTTTTCAGGAACTCCAATGACAGGCAGTTTGCTGGGTAGTGAAGGGTAACAATTAACAATGTTTAGCTTTCTGCACGTCTGCAGAGTTGAAGGAGAGTTCTGTAGAGAAATATGTGGTGTCTGCTGAGCCAGGCCACAGAGCCCTAGGGAAAGATATGTGCCTTTTTAGAGTCAAAAACTGATAGCCAGGTAATGTCTAGTTCCAAGGAAAGATGGAGTCACTATAGTTCTCCCTGTTCCTCCTGTTAAATACACTATGTATAAATCAACACAAGAAGTATGAAAGCTAATTACACAAAATGGAGTCATTTATGTCATTCCCCAAGTGATACAGTGTCAAGAGGCCAATGAAGAGAAAAGCTCAGGTCATAAATGCCTGTCTTGCAAGCTCAACCCAAAACTACAAGGGACTAATTGTAACCCTAACATTGAAAGATTAAAAGTCTAACCTACCAACCACTGACATTTGCCAAAATCAGAACACATCAGCTGCCAGTGACACTGCTGTGCCAGGGGGCTTACCTTTAAACAGCCTGTGTAACCTCCTCTGTCCTCAGTAAAACCTTAACATTTTCCTTCATCCTCTGACAAACCAGAGGCCACCTCTAGTTGGGTGCATCTCCCAACTTCAATTCTTCTTCTTGTATTTGATTTCCCAGTAAATCTTTTGCTTGGTGATTTGTTGTTGTTGTTGTTGTTTGTTCGTTTTGTTTTGTTTTGTTTGATGTCAAATTGACAGAAGACTTAAGAGGAGAGAAGAAGATAGACTGACTAGGAACTTTGAGACAAAGTGTAAATAGAGCATTGGATTCAGTGGGTTTTGCAATCATTGTAAATGCTTGCCACATGCATGCCAGCCTTGGATCTAGAGAAGCCAGCCATCCAAAAATATCAACGGACAAAGACAGAAAAAAAAAATACCTGTGAAAGTCTGCTATTTTTTTAAGACAAAGGATCAAGAAAAGGGAAGCCTCAGAAGACAAAATACTTTGAGACAATAAACACTCTACCCCAACCAAACACCACAGAAAAATCTGCAGCCTCACCTCTACCTGCAAAGGTTAAGTGGAAAGTCAGCCTGTAATGAGGCACCCCAGCCCCTCTGCTGGGCTATGTCTGCAGATACATGGGGAACCTGTATTCCCACTCTCTATGGGCAATAACAAGACATCACGCACTTGTTTTCCACCAACAGAGTCAGTTCTAGGAAAATAGAAGACTTAAATAAGATCCAGACATTATAACATGATATCCAAATGTCCCAGATACAATAAAAAATGGCATATCACTCCAAGAACCTGGAAAACCTCAACTTCAATGAGAAAAGAAAATCAAAAGATGCCAACATGGAAATGATACAGATGTCAGGATTATCTGACAATGATTCAATTAGCAATAATGAAAATATAGAAAGTCTTAGCAAAGAAATAGAAGGCATAAAAATGTCAAATGGAAATTTTACAACTAAGAAATAAAACAAGCAAAATTTAAAAAGCTCCTTGGATGGGCTCACCAAGAGACTAAGGAGAACAGAGGAAATGATTATTGAACAAGAATACAGAACAAGAGAAACTGGCCAATCTGAATAACAGGAAAAAACAAACTGGAGAAAAAAGAACAGGGCTTTGAAACCTGTGGGACCAAAACAAAAGATCTGACATTTGGGTCACTGAAGTCAAGTATTTAAAAAAATAATGGCTGAATATCTTCCAAACAGCAAAAGACATAAACCTACAGATCTGAGAAGCCAACTGAACCCTAATTGGATAAATTTAAACAAATTCCATGCCAAGATACATCACGGTTGAACTTCAGAAAACTGAAGAAAAAAAGCAATATAAACAAAAAACCGTCTTGAAAGCGGTGAGAGAAAAATACTACCTAATCTGTAGGGAAAACACACTACCAAAGAAAACAGGTTGGGCTGGGGATGTGGCTCAAGTGGTAGCGCACTCGCCTGGCATGTGCGCCTGGGTTTGATCCTCAGCACCACATGAAAATAAAATAAAGATATTGTGTCCACCGAAAACTAAAAAATAAACATTAAAAATTTCTCTCTCTCTCTCTTAAAAAAAAAAAAAGACCACCGGTTTCTCTTGGGCTAGGTTGCATGCACCAGTAGTCCCAGCTATTCAGAGGCTAAGGCAGGAGGATCCCAAGTTCAAGGCCAGCTTAGGTAACTTAGTAAGACTGTGTCTAAGAATAAAATAATAAAAATGGTTGGAGTGTAGTGCAAGGCCCTGCATTCAATCCTCTGTCCAAAAAATAAAAAATAAAAAAACCATAGAGACCAGAGGAAGCAGCACCAAATTTTCTAGCTCTAAAAGGCCTATCAACTTAGAATTCTATCCAGTAAAAATATTCTTCAAGAATTAAATGGAGACCATGTCATTCTCAGCTGAAGGAAAACTAAGAGTTTGTTTACAACTGACCTACCCCAAAATAATAGCTAAAGAAAGTTTTTGGAATAGGTAGGAAATGACTTAAAAAAAATAAAAGGAAATGGGAATATCTGTAAGGAAGAAACAACTTCAGAAAGAATAAAAATACAGGTGAATATAACTCTCCTCCTGAGTTTTCCAAATTGTGTTTAAAATATAATTATAGCAATACTTTGTGTGGTTCCCAATGTATGTACAGGAAATATTTAAGACAATTATATTATGAATAGGGAAGAGTAAAGGGATAGAAAGGGAGGTAAGGTTCACACTTAAACTAGCAAAATGTTGATATTATATATAAAATATCACTGACTGTAAATATATGTAATATATAAATATATCATGGTTATTTACATATAGGATATATATCATAGTTATACATATATATTTATACAGAGAGAGTTTTCACTAAAAAAAATTGTATACAAGGAGATATACTCCAAAATACAGATAAATCAAAATGGAATTCTAAAAGTTGTTCAAATGAGCCCACAGGAAGGCGGGAGGGGGGTGATAAAAATCAGAGGGAAGTGTTGGATGGAAGGTAGAACTTTAAAAATTTTTTAAATGTGCCCAATAATAGCGATTTGTAAATTGTTTGAGGAAGATTCCCAAGGAAATATTTTGTATTTCACTCTAGAGTTCCTATCTTATCCAAAATCCAAGTAAAGAAAACCTGAGCACAAAATCTAATATGTATAGTAGATATCACATACACACACACACACACACATATACACACATGTACACACACCCAAAGAGAGAACAGCAGAATGAACAGACTCCCTCATTTACATAATATAAACATTAAAATTTCGAGAACTCAGATCTTAACTTCCATTAAAGTTTTTAACAACTTATGAGAACCCACACATAGCCACTAGGCTTGAGTTCAGGGCTTGCAGTAGTACTAGTTTATTTTGTTCAATATTCACTTCATTTAAAATAAACAGAACTGGAACAATATTAGATAGACCTGTAAAGTTGGCAAAGTTTGTTTTTGATACTAGGGATTGAACCCAGGGGCACTTTATCGCTGAGCCACATCCCCAGACCTTTTTATTTTGAAACAAGGTCTCACTAAGTTGCTTAGGGCCTCATTGAGTTGCTGAACCTGGCTTTGAACTTGCCATTTTCTGCCTCAGCCTCCCAAGCAGCTGAAATTACAAGGATGTGCCCCTGTGCCCAGGAATTAACAAAGTATTAACAACCTGTTTCACTGTCTGACCATCCCTGCAGCCCCACCCACAGCCCCCTCCCTTCACCCTAGGGTGTTGATCTCAACTCTCTAGGATGGAAACCAACTTGATCAAGTAATCCCTGAGACTCAATTTTATCCCACTATTGGCATAAGAGTGATTTCTCCAGGCACATTTACATTTTCATGAGGTCCTCACAAACCAAAAAGCCACTAATATGAAAGTGTCTACTGGTACTTTGCCTGACAGCACAGGGTTAGGAAAAATAATCTCAGTTTCAGGGTCCCTTGTAAATCCCACACCAAAGACACAGGGAGATCCATATGTGAATGAAGTGCCTGTTTCCAAGGGCAACACACACTGAGCCTGTCAGGTGATTTTTAGAAGGCAAAGGAAGGCTTAAATTTAGACCTGCTCAAAAGGCTTCCGGGTTATTTTCTCTCCCCCTATTTTTTTTTTTCCAGATAGTTTTACCTTCAACAATTTGGTCAACCACTTTAAATGCTTTATCAATATTTCCATATTCCAGTTTCCTTTCTGGCTTGAAGAAGGAATTATGTCGTATAGCATCCTAGAAAGAGAACAGAGAAGGCTGCAAGTCTGCAAGAGATCCAGTCCTATGATAGTAGCCACACCCTGGGGTGCCAATCAAGGCACTTTCCCACAATCCTATGAGCCTTGAACCAGGCCTGGAGACTCCCCAGCCAATGGAAATCTGCCTGTTGGGTCCAAAGAAACTGAGTATATTCAGAAAAAACCTGGCACTGAGGCAATCCAAGAATGGAACTAGTATTTCGCAGGCAAATTATTGTCTTCAATCCACAACTTATTTTATGTATTCAGGGCCACATAGCACACTGGTTCAGAAATGCGGCTCCACCCAGAGTTATATCCATTTTCTCCACTTACTTGTTGTTTTACTGTGGGCTGTTACTTCCCCTCTATGAGTATCATCTTGTGAAGTAACAGTTGTGCATATAGGTCCAAGAGGGTTGTGAAATGAAACATGTAAAGGGCTTGGATGGCATATAGTTAAATGTTCAATAAATGCTAGCAGAAAACACTAATGATTGAGATCATGGTGGCTTTGCCTGCTGGTCTCGCCTTCCTCCTTTGGGGACATAAGCACTTCATTTGTAGAGGGAAGTGGAGCACCTGGAACCATTAATCCTAGAAGTAAGTCTCTATTATCAGCTTTGTCCAGGTGCCACCAATCCACTTACACACTGGCTTCCCTGGTCCCCAGAGAAGGAGTGCAGTGGTACACATATATAAAAATACAGCTACAACAGCCTAGGTTGGTTTTTTGTACCCAGGATTTTCTTACCTATCCCTGGGAATTTATCTTACTATGATCCATGTGTTTGTCGGTGAATGGGCCATGTGAGTTCCTGCCAGCATGATCCACCATGGATTATCGTTCATCCATAAAATTCCTACCTGCTGGCAGTTGGGGGTTCTCCTAACTCTGGATCTCTCAAGCCATCAGTATCTGTCTGGACCTATCCTGTCCACACACCTTATAGGGATGTTCTTTTGTCATCCTGTCATTTCCTCCACTGAGAAAAGTGGGCTGGTTTGTTTTTTGCCACTGTGAGATCCAGGCTGTTGGACAAAGTGTTTGTTGATTGCTATTACAGTTAGCAATGTGACCCTGGGTAACTGTCTTTGAGTTTCCTCATCAGTATGGTCATTGCAGTGGTTTGGCATCCTAAGATTGCTGTGAGCATTTAGTGAGGTCATGCACAAAACCACCTTAGATCCATGCCCCACACGCAGAGCTCTTCAAAGCTGCCAGCTGATGGAGCTGTGGATGATGATGCTTAAGGAGAAACTCTGGTGGGGAGCACATTTTTTTCACCATGGCCCTCAGCTTTCCCCCCACCCCCGCACATCTAAGAGTTTTGATAGAGTTTCCCAATTCAAACTACCAAAACCAGGCATAAGCCAGGCTCAACTTTAGTGTTAGTGACAGATATATTTTTTGTTATCCTATTTTGTTCTATAACATACTTCATACTGGAATTAATTCACACTCCAGTGCTTTTCTTATTAATTGAAGATTCAGATATTCCAAGTTGAAGAAAGAAGCTACCTTTGTAAACTCCACTTTTTAAAATTTAAGCTTTTTCAACTTCACTTCTCCTTGCTCTTTTAATAATTTTGAGTCAATTTCCTGAATATTCATTGGTTAGGAAAGTGTTAGCAGGACTTTAATGTGTAGGGAGCCAGGCATAGCTTCCTACTATCAACTTGGATCAAATACACTCTGATCCAGTTGACTGATCGTGGAGAATTTTATCTCTTACCAAGAGGGAGGTAACTCTTTTCCATAATTCTGATATTCTCTGGCAGACAATCAGGTAACTGCTGGCTGAAGTGGGGAAGGCAGGGGAGGAGGGTATCTATTTATTTATTGGACTTTCATTTGGCTGGAATGTGGGGAAGGGAAGGGTGGATACTCAGCCACTTGTATTGGGAAAAGAATTACCAAAAAAATTATGGGGTATTATGTAAATAATTTCTTAAGAAGTAATCCTAACTCAAAAGCAAAATTTGGGGAAAGGAATACATACAGTAAGTAGGAACAGCAGGCAACATAAGAATGATACGGCCTGAGAAGGGAATAGAATGTGTGAATTTGAAACTGGCCAGGGACATCTGCAAGGCCTCACTCAAACAAACTTCTATTTTTATCTTCTTAACATTATTTTATTGTAATTTTAAAATGCTAAGTAAAATTTCCAGAAAAAAATGCCATGTTCCTAGGTATAAAGTCTCATGACAGAAAACATCCTCAAGGTCAGGTTCTCATGATGACACTCACCTTGGCCAAGTCATTTCCTCTTTTCATCTCAGACCATGCTACTCACCTAGAGAACCATGTGCTCATTATATTGTGAGGGTAACACTGTGTTCCCAAGAGTACATGTAGCCTGCATGGACTGAACCTAGTCTACTCAGGAGGTTTCATGCTTTCCTTATTATAAGAAGCAATGGAATATTCAGAACCCTTACCATTTCATGGAGATGGTTCTTACCACCTCTATAGATTTCCAACGTCTGTCTAAAATTAGGTTAGAAAATGCAACTCTCCAATTTGTTCAAGTTGCCAAAATTCCTGTAGGCATTTTATGATCTATTTCCACATTCATTTAAGATATGCATTTAAGAATCTAAAAGTAATATCTCCCAGATTTGCTTCATAGAAGATCTAATCAGTCCAGATCCTGAGAGGAGGTGAATCAGAGCTAAGGATAGACCCACAGTCTTGGACATTGCTAGCTGTCCATCTAGCATTCTTCTCATCTTCCCCTTTCCAAGCAATGCTCAGATTTCTGTATAGGTTTCCTGCACTCCCTCTATAGCCCATGCATTACCAAGAAATATGATCCCACCCTCAGTTTCAGTGTTAACAAACAGCTCCTACATTTCTCTGACCAGTCATTAACTCAACATGTGACCCAAGTGGCCTAATTAGGGTTGTCTCAGGACATGTGCCTGGAATGCTGAGACAATAAGGTTCCTTTTGTCACTGAACATGAACAAGGAAACCCATGTTTCCCAGCTGCCATCTGTGTGCACAAGGGATGAGCCTATACTCATCCCTTGAGAGGCAAAAATAAATTGGAGAAATTGGTCATACTGATCTAGTTTGAGTTGATCAGGTCTTACTATACCAAAAGCATTTTAACTTTTAACTGATATACTTCTGATGTCTGCTCTTCCATTCCCTAAATTGGCACCACCTCAAACTCATTACCTCAATTGTTAGGATCAGCGGCTCCACGTCTTGGTAGACAATCTTTACTTGCTTAGCAGCTCGTCTTGCCTGAATCTCAGTATCTGCAATCACGGCACAGACAAGCTGACCCACACAAAATACCTATGACACAGAAAGACCTTTGATGTCAAGGAGAGCAGGTATTCATTCATTATCTCCCCCGCCCCCCACAGCACAAGACTTGATACGCACAATAAAGGACCCCTCTCCATCTGCCCATGCCGATAGAACCTGCTGACTCTAAAGCACTGTACATCTCTGTGCTGTATCAGGGGCAGAGGCAGCTGCAGAGGGGGAGGGGCGATGCGGCCTTGATCGGACTCAGGCTCTAGCCTAGTCAAGGGGGGCTTCTTGAGGGCCAACTGGCTTATGAGAACCAAGCTATGATTGGCCTGGCTGTCCCACCACATTTAGGGCCAATCTGCAGAAGGAACCTTCTGTTTTCAAAGACAGGGAGAAGCAAGAATTTGTAGCTCATCTACAAAAGGGGGTGATTTGGGAAAGAGACTTCTCATGTGATTACACCACACTGCTGGTGAACAAGTCACTGCCTACAAACTGTCCTGGAGCTCAGGCTTCTCAGGAAGACATGTGAAAGACTCAACTGCCAAGATATGACCAAGCACAGGGCATCGCTTCCCTGGGGGGCTGCAGTCAATATCATGTCACCTGCAGATGAGGTAGGTGGACTGGGGAGCTCACACAGGGACCAGGACAGAAAGCTGGATTGGGTGGGGGGAGCAGATAACTAAGGCTCACGACAGGTAAAAATAGTCTGAACCAGGTGATTTGAGTTCTCTCTCCCACCTTATTCTATGGTTCACACTCAAATTTAAACATTCATTTAAAACAATCTACTTTAGACCATTATGTCTTCCACAGTGAACACAGAAATGTTATCAGAAAAAAATGATACCAGGTTTGGAGAGCTTAGCTCAGTGATAGAGAAGTTGCCTAGCATGTGTGAAGGCTTGGGTTCAATCTCCAGCAGTGCACACACACATACACACACACACACACACACACAAAAAAAAACACACAATAGTATTTAAAACATTAGTGTATAGTTGGGTGTGGTGCATTGGGGGCAGAGAAGAGAGAGAAGTGAAACATGTTGATTGTTGAAGCTGGAGGATGCTTCTATGGAGTCTCTATTTTGTGCATGATTACAAAAATGTCTGCAGTGAAAAGATGTTTAAAAGTCATAAAGTGCCATAAATGAGTGTTAGAAAAGGAGTGAGGCCAGCTAGGCAATCCTCCAACATGGCACTACTCTCCACAGATGCTCGGCTTTGCCCCTGTGACCTGGCACATCAATCCCTAAGATGCTCACAGTCTGCATAAGCACACTTCAGAGAGCAGGTTCTAAGGTGCAGCCAGGAAATCCCGCTTGTTTAGTTAACATTTATGCACGGACTGTAATTCTCACTGCCCCCTGCCAGTGATATACAACCCTACCTCAGGGGAGTTTCAACCTTGAGTTCAGATTTCTGGTCATCAAGCTTTCATTTTTATTCACTAAATCTTCCAGCAAGAGCCAGAGTTAGGGACTATTTCAAAGGATGAAGCTCTTTTGTATAACTATCGAACTGAGAAGTCTGAATTAGTTATGCAGAAAACCTGCTAAACACTGTCCTTGCTGTATTTTCTAGTAACTTGACATACAGTAGACCAAGTTAAAGCTTTCAAATGGTAATGGTGTTTTCACTGGGTTTTGTTTTGTTTTTTACTCTTTTACCTTGTTACACAGAATATGCAGATGAATCAGACATGGCCCCTCACTCAAGAAATTATATTAGGCAGGGGGAATAGATAAGATATACAAATAAATAAGCTTAATGCAAGAAAAAAAATGTGCATTGAAAGTCCACTTCTCAAAGACAGACGTGAAGCTCTCTGAGGGCAGGGACCACATGTCTTGTTCAGCTATGATGATCAGATATAACAGATCCTTAAGAAATGACTACTGAATATGTGGTAGTGTGACGGAATGAGTCAGAATTAGTTCAGAGAGGGAAAGAGAACTTCTGAATTCAAGGATAAGAAAAGGCTTCAGAGTTACGATACCACTTGAACTCAAACTTAAAATTTGGACATGGTGGGACTGGAGTAATGACAAGAGATTTGCTAGGGGCAAGGATTTGCAAGTAAACCTTGCCTAATCCTCTGTTCATTTATTTTTTCATATTGTGAGCAACATACTATATAACCATTATAAAATATAAAACACCAAAGTATCTTTTATATAACTATTAAACTTCTTATGTGGAAAGGAATATATTTGAATGCATTCAATATCTATATTATAAGATATATTTATAAGATAAAAATATCTTATTATATTTGATAATAATAATTCAAGAATATTGAATACTTTTATGACATATCAAATTAAATGGTAGCTTTAAGAAAATATGAAGTGCCATGAACTGAGGAAGTCATTTTTCAAACAGAAAGCAAAAGTGAAATACCTCATCTGTTGCCAGCAATGTCTCTGTGGAGAAGGAATTTACGTCTTGAAGATGATCTGCAGTCATAATGTCCACTACACCTGGCAGGCTGAGAGCTTCTGATAGATCAATAGACCTAGACGACATCACACACCACAGGCTCCTCAGAGAAGCCACACCCCCCACAGATCCTTGAGAATGTGGTTAATTTGAAAATAAGGTATGAGATGAGAGAGGTAAAAATATGTTAAAGAACTACTCCCATAATTCTCTGCTAGACAATTAGAAAGAATTTGGGAGACACAGAAGTTATCACATGGAGGGAAAATTTGTAGTAAATACTAAATTTCAATCCCATTGTGTCTCCAGTTTACATTGGACATCACCAACAAATAGCTTACCCTCTTTATACCATTACTCTCCATTAATGTGACTGATTTAGACAAAAAGGCAATCATTAATGCCTTTTGAGTAAGACCACTTACACAATCTTAGCATGAGCTCTTGAACTAGTTACAAAAGTCAAAAACAGTTCCCGGTCCACTGCAGGCATGTCATCACAGTAGATGGCTTCCCCTGTGGCATGCTTAATACCAGACAGATGCATGATGGGACGGCCAATTGGGTCTCTCGGGAGCTGCTTTGGGTCTACATTCTGTTTAATAAATAATCAACATATAATTTTTACATTTTTATAGAGAAAACAAGAATAATCATATTATGTACATTTCCTATAAGAGGGTAACAATATGGTTTACACCCAAACCAGAACACTTCAGGGAATGAAAACAGTCACAATTCACAATAACACCAGGAATAATAAGCCTATTACAATAATTTGATAGGAAAACTGGAATATGTAGCCATCATGTGGTTTTTAGAGTTTTCACTTTTTTGAATATAGATGTCAGACATCTCTAATGGAAATTCTATTTGCATATGCAAATTAATTTAAATCTTTGTTCCTGATAATATAAAGTTATGTTCTTTTGCTAATGTTCATGTATTTCTTTAAATTTTATTATCAAATGTATCTTCCTACTTACATATGAACATGATGCATGTAATATTTTGCAAGAATGTGATGATATGGTGACAATCTTTATAGAAAATATTGAGAGTATGTTTTTAACCAGAAGAGCCCCACCACCACTACCATTTTGAGTGAAGAATTCTAAGAAATAACCAGTAAAACTCTTAATTTAGACAATTTGGATAGACAATGGACTTGAATTTAAGTGATTCATTGGTGTTTGAGTGATTGACTGGTGTTACTCTTTTTTAGAGAGCCATAGAGTAAAATGACTTGCTCCTGGTTCTGTGAGTACCTTGAAGATGTTGCACCAATCAAAACAGAAACTAAGCAACATGACATCTCCCCTGACATTTCAGATACAAGAGCTGTTAGCAGTCCTAGTTGGGCCGGTACTGGGAAGAGAAGTGGAGGTATGAAGAAAAAAAGGAGAAGGGGTTTCAAGACATGACCTAGGCTGAGCTTAGAGACCAGGGTAAAGGCTGTGGCTGAGGAGCTGCCTGGCAAGCAGTATTGGGCAGCCTCTTCCATAACTCAATGTATTTGGTGCTGAGCTGAGGCCAAGTTCCCCAGAGGCTTCCTTAGGGCACACAGTCAGGTCAGTAGAGTGAGGTGTAGGCAAAGTTAGGGACATCTCCCCTTCCTGTCTCACCCATTGCCCCATTCTGCAGTTCACAGGGTCACCCTGAACTGTGGATCAAGAAAGGATTCTTCTTTTGAGATAAACCCATAGCACTGGCCTATATTATACAGCAGGTGGGAAGAGAGAAGTCACAAACAGAACACATACTGGTTGAAAACCTTGACTGGGAGGAAAAAGAAACTCTACAACCTGACCTATTTCCAACTTAGTATAATTTAAGGCATCTGAGGGAAAGAAAACCTAGATGTTTTTGTACTCAATTACCAGAATGTGAAGTTTGAGAAAGTCTGTTCAGTACACACTGGCAATGAATGAGATGTCTAAGTCCTGTTTCATTTATAGGTACATATTTTCAGGTTTGAAGTGATTCCTGGTTCACTGAAAATGCCCCAGGACTCTTGTTCTATGGAACCAAGGGAAAGTTGTCCTGAGATCCTATGGATCCAACATGTTTCCTTTTCTGGCAGACACCTGGCTTTCTTGTCTTTTTTGAATGAATTAACGGAAGAAATCTCATGAGTGGAGGAGAGACATGTTTACAATGGAGAACTTTATGTAAAGATAGCTATGAAATATACAATTCCCCCAAAGCCCTCTCCCACCCACAGGATTAGAGAAGAGTGGTCCTCACTTACTGTCCACCCACTGGAGGCACTCAAGGAAAGAAAACTTTAGCTTAAGATAGATCAGAAATTCTCCAGGCAGATAACAGGCCCAGAATATCACAAGGGAAAGAGAGAGTGGTATGCATAATTTGGGAACATGTTGTGGATCATCTAGAAAATGAAAATAACCCAATTGTTTTCAAAATGTAAATAAGAAGTGAAATGTCAACCAAATTTGTGCAGAAATTGGAGTGCTTTTTATAACTGACTTGGCATAAGATGTGTAGAGGATGCACTGAATTTATTTCTATTTTATAAAAATGTACTGTTTTACAATAGAATAAAAGCTGATCAATAGCATTTATTGTTTCAATATCTATGTTCACTTTACTTAAATGCAAACTTCAATTTGTAGTGACCATAATATACAGCACCAAAAAGGAATACTGGCTCAGTGTTTTTGGTTCTTGTTGAGTTCATCCTGATTCATAAGCTAGAAAGCAGAGAATTATTTTTTAAAAAAGTAATTTAGGACTGGAACCATGCACAATTTAATCAGTCTATGAATGCAGAGAAATACAGGAAAATGAAAGAAAATTTTACATATGGTGGTTCAGATATGAGCAGGGATTTGAAGAAGCCTCAACACACACCAACTCCACTGATAGAGCTCATTGCTCCCTTCCTATGGCCAGAACCTTTCAGTAATTCTCTTCTTCTTTAGGGAACTGAGGTGATGATCAAAAGAAAAAAAAATGTGAAGCTTTTATCAGGTATGTTTTTCCAAATGGTACAGATAATAGGAATTGATTCCTCTGTAAAATATCCCCCAAAGTGCTGAGTTATCATACTACATTGGGCTCTCAGCTTGCACAACATTTGAGTGAAAAATTATGTTTTTTAAATCCTAAGAGTTTTTTCTTTTCATTCCCAAAAGTAAAATGTTAGGCAATTCATAAGTTTGGACACTAAGAAACACATTCATATGAATCTATAAAGACTCTGGAAACTTTCTATTATTAACACTTTTTTTGGTTTTAAAAAAAAGTATCATAGCATTAAAAAAGTCTTTTGAAAATGTTCTGTGTAAAAGCTACCAAAAGATCGAGGGAGAATTCCAAAACATATCTTTATCTTATTGAGTAACCAAGTATGAAATTATTTTAGCTGAGTTTATAATTTTTTCCTATCAGTTGTGATGAATATACTGGAGAAAGGTGGTGCTGCATGCTGTATGCCGTAGTTTAGGTCTGAAATGTCCCCTAAAGTCCTATGTGATAGAGGTGATTGAGAAGCAGGGAAACTTGAAGAGAAGGGGCTAAGTAGGAGGTTTTTGGTCATTGGGGGTATGCCCTTAAAGGGGATGTGGGACACTAGTCTCTTCCAAAACCAACTCTCATCTGTGTAGGAGATATACTGCATCCAAACCTTTATTTTGCAATCTATAATAACAACTTCCTTCAATGTCATCCACTATGTGAAGATTTTCAGTTTTTTTTGGATGGCTTGAATGCCCACTAATTTGTTTCTTGCTGAAATGTATTCCATTGCCATGGCAATCTTAGGGTATTTATAAGTTGAAGATTGTGAATACCATATTTTACAGAACACCAGGGAACATGGCAGTTTTCAGCTTTCAAAATATTCACTTCCAATGCTGTTTGGCATATTTGCATTTTTGAACATATTGAACCTAAAACCTCAAGGGGTATACAGCAACTTCAGTGTTTGTTATGACATACTATAAGTTTTATAACTGAATCTAACAACAGATTCACTGAACTGATGTTTTAAAGACACTCTTCCTGTTTTTAACTTAATACAACTCTCAAAGTCAAATTTCTTCATAATAATTTCAAGGAAAAACACATCAGATTGTATCCAGTTTACCAACAGAATGACTTCTGGTGATATTTTTAGGATGTCATGGCAGAAAATTCCATTTGAAAGATGTGAGCAGCTCTGTTTCCCCATACAGTCAGCCAATACTAAGAAAACTTGAAAATAGTTCTTAGAACTCCTGTGTGATTCAACTCTAAAATGGAACTCACAGAAAAATCACTTGGACAGGTGGAAGGAACTGGGGGAGCAAAGGATCTCCACGTTTGAACAAAACAAATCAGTAGCTCTCATAAAAAGTTGTCATTGAATTTTCACCAGCCTCCAAGGACTGTCTTCTGTTCCTCTGGAATAAAACCAGAGCAGCCCACAGTCCTGACATGGACCGCAGCTTTGATTGAGCTTTGACAACCACAAAGCCAAGGGCAGAAAGCACACAGCAAGCTAGCAGCTCGTTCAAGTCAGCAGCACAGGCCACAGTACAAAACGTGTGGCCTTGAAAATCAAAACACATTATTCTTTAAAATAACCATTGCTAAATCTGTTTTCAGTAATGATTCTTCCTCATTGGTTTACAATTCTTTTTCTTTTCATGATACTGGGAATTGAACCCAGAGCCCAACACACGCTAGGCAAGCACCCTACCACTGAGCTACATCTCTGGCCCAGTTCTGGGCTTTTAATTAGTACTCCAGGAGGCAGGGAGTTCACCAGAAGGGGCACTTGGGCTTATGAAGCTTGAGAGTCACTGAGAGACTCTGGGAACCTCCCACAGTTCTGTAGCACAGACTCTGAATTTAAAAAGAAAACATAAAAGGCCACTAACCTGGTACTGTAACGTACTCCAGTGATGTCTGGAATGAAGATCTTCTAAAGCACTCTCATAGTTGTTTGCTAAGCTAGGATAGTGACCTGGGTCCTGAAAAGGAGAACCATGAGAGATATTTAAATGCTCTCGAATGTTCCAAATTGATTTTAGAAGGGAGGCTAGAGTTATTCTTAGCAAGTATCTACTTAAGATTAAACCCAGAGGCACTCAACCACTGAGCCACATCCCCCACCCTTTTTTATATTTTATTTAGAGACAGGGTCTTTCTGAGTTGCTTAGGGTCTCACTAAGTTGCTGAGGCTGGCTTTAAACTCATGATCCTCCTGCCTCAGTCTCTAGAACCTCTTCAATTATAGGCATGTACCACTACCCCCAGCCTTAGCAAGTATTTCTACTCTGAAGTCTAACATTTATTAAGTACTGAACCTTGGAAGTACAAGCAACTCCTTGACTTCAAGGACATTTACCCTAGAAAGTACATATGCATCCACCTTGTAGAAAGAGCCCAGTAAATATAGTAGGTCACTGGCTTCCACCATCTCTACATTTCTTGTTCTCTACACGCTTTCCTAAATTATTTGAGGACTTACACACCAATATAATAGGAAGCTAAATAAAATAAAATAAAATAAAATAAAAAAGAATACTTAAGCCAGGAAAAAGTCAGAGCCAAATCATGCAATTGCAAAGATCATGAAACCTTGCCATGTGGGCAGAAAAGGGGTACAGAGGCAGAACCTGGCCACCACTCCACAGGAGGAAGAACACCCCTAGGAACAGAAGGAAATGGGGCATTTGGGTTTTTACACAGACTTTAAGCAACACACCTGGTCATTTTTTAAAACTTAAATAATTTCAATAGAAAATAAAGTTAATAAAGGCTATTATTTTTAAAGAAGGGAAGTTTGATGGAAGGTATAAAACTACAACAAGGCAGAAGTTTTAAATTATATCACTGATTCACCAAGAAATTGTATTCGTTTGCTCTTAATTAAGGGAGTCTACAATTGCCTATATTTTTCCCCATTTTTGATGATCTAGTGCCAAATCTCATATATATATGACTTCAGACTTCCATTCTTAAAATTCTGATACAAACTTTCTGGTTCTTAGTTGTTCCCATTCATAATAAGAAGGTACTTTCAAAAGCAATGATAAGAGAGGACTTTGTGTCTGTTATTTAAGGTGAACACACTTTCCATACCACAAGAAGAGTCATGGCTTCCAGTCTCATCTCTAAGGCTGGCTGTAGCAGGGGGTTAAGGGAGGCCAATAAAGTTCAACTTTCCTTGGGTCCTAATGAATTTATTCAGAGAATTTATTTTCAGTTGTGTCCTCCCTAGCCAACAATCTTGCAACTAACTGTCACAAGGAAGACCAGGCAAGAGAATGCTAGGATTATCACCACTATCATCAGGACCACCACTAAGTGGTTCCTCTGAAGCACCAAGGATCATATAAGCCATTTTTCTATGATGACCCATTTCACAATAATCTTGGACAGTGGCTGCCGCCATCACCATATGGGTGAGAAAAATAGAGCTGAGCCCAGAAAAGAAAACCAAACATGGGTGAGCTTCAATAAGTGGAAGAAAATGTATTCAAATCATTAGCCAGTTTTCTAAACATTATCTAGAAAAACAACAGGTCAGAGACAAAATAACCGAGTGGTGTTAAATAGAATCCTGCCTAACACTGTGCTCCACTTGCAGTTCTTCCCCAAACTCACACCCATCCACAGACAGCCAGATGGAAACCTAGTAAGTCCTAGCATTTCTGATTTGGGTCTTCTTTCTATTCTACTCAACAGAGCATTTGGGTGCCCCTCAAAGCCCCCAGTCTTGGGAAAGCTAACACATGACCAGTTCCACTTACCATCCTCTTCAAAATCTGTAAAACTTCCAGGTAGAACTTGAAGAGGAAGCTGATGATGAGGGTCCTTTTGAACTCCACCTTCCCACCTGGAGCTGAGCCCGGAAGGGACACTTCCTCCAAAATGAGCCTGCAAGCTGTATCCAGCATCTCTTCACTCCATGGCCTGGGAGAAGCAAGTTCTGCTTTAAGCACTGTATATACATTCTTTTGTTTAATCATCTCAACTTCCCTATGAAGTGGATATGATTATCTGTCTTTGACAGATAAGGAAACTGAGGTACCATAAAGTTAAGTAAGATGACTGAGCTGGGTGTGGTGGCGCACTCAGTGAGATCCTAGCTCTAAATAAAATACAAACTATAGGCTAGGGATGTGTCTCAATGGATGTGCCCCTGAGTTCAATCCCCAATACCCACCCCCCAAAAAATGATGACTGAGATCATGTAGTAGTGGGGGGCTGAGCTGAGAGTTGGATCAGGCAGTCTGGCCCACCAATAGTTTAAAGCTCATGTTTTAACCACTATTCTCTATTAAATGCTAGTAAATGCTAGTAAGTGCTCAAGAAATATTAGCTATTAATGTTTTTTAAGAGAGAAAGAGAGAGATTTTTTAATATTTATTTTTTAGTTTTCAGCGGACAGAACATCTTTGTTTTGTATGTGGTGCTGAGGATCAGACCCGGGCCGCACACTACCACTTGAGCCACATCCCCAGCCCCTAGCTATTAATGTTACCTATAAATATAAGAAGTCAGGTAAGCAAATACATTTAGGAATTAATTTTAGAACAAACTCACATAATCTATTTCTCATCGTGGTAAATGATCCCCTACAATAAAGAATGTACATGTACTATAAGAATATTGACATTCTCTCTCCCTTCATCCCACCCTCTCTCCCTCCCTCTCCATCATGACTCTCTCTCCATCATGCCTACTTGAGAATTCACTAAAACAAGACATGGAAATAATCATGAAGTATTATTGGGATTCCCTGCCATAAAATAGAAAGGTACTAAGCATTTTTCTTCTCACAATTACTTCTCCCCATAGATTGAGCTGCTCTGTTACTTGGGGTCTAAGGACATGATGCCTTACCTGCCGATGAGTTTCTGGCAGGAATTCTTGGCACTGATGATGGTTGGACCAACACCCCCATACAGGATGGAGAGCTCTCTGATAATGCCATCCCCTTCTCCAAAAAGGACCCTCATTCCTGAATTGACTATTGCCAGTGCATTCTGCTGCCGCTGGGCCTGTCGGAAGGCTGACACAAATTCCCACTGAAAGAAAAGTTAAATGGTACATGTAGAAACATACTGAAAACGACCTGTACCAGGAGGAAGTATGTGTATGTTGCCTTATCTGATCCTTGTCACATCCTCTTTTATGGGCAGAATTATGTCCACCCCAAATTCACATGTTGAAGTGTCCTTTGAGAAGAGGAATTTTGCACATACGAATGAAAGAGGGAAGACTTTGCAAAAACAGAAGAGAAGAAAGCAATTTAAAGCCCAGGTCTGAAGTTTTAGAAGAAATGAACCTTGCTATGCCTTGATAGAAGACTCCTAGCCTCTGACATTTGTAGAAAATAAATCTACGTTGTAACATATGCTCAGTGTGTGGTTCTTTGTTATCACAGCCCAGTAAACTAATATATCCTCTGAGGCAGGTGTAATCTATCCCATTTTGCAGATGAGGAATCGAAGGCTCAAGGCGATTCAGTAATTAGTTCGGGTCTTGAAACCAGGTCTGAAATCTGAGTCCATCTGTCTCCAAAGCCCTTGTTTTTTCTGCAAATATATCTTTTAGCCTCTTTCAAACCCCAGCACACAGGCAGAGGTATATTCTTTGTTTTTTATTTAGGGAAAAAGTCTTATGGGACAAAAAAAAATTTTTTTTTTAAATGTTAGGTGCAAAAGGAACTGTTCACAGGTCCTGTAAGATAAAGACCTCATGCTACTTTCTAAAGTTGATTTTTATCTTCCCTATCAACACTCAATGTTTTTTCTTGGCCCACCCTATGCTGGAATAAACCACTGTGGGCTCACAGGCAACACTAAGGCAAGAAGGACCTTCTCACCTTGCTGGAGTAAGGGATGTTCACTGAGATCAAGATTTCTTGAGGCTTAAGATCTGCACTGGGGTCCTTGCTGAGAAACTTCTCATTTAAAGGGATCTGTCGTTTTCCTTCTGTGGAAAGAAATGACACTTGCCCTGAAATCTCCAGCCTATTGAATAAAATCACAGAACTTGGGAAATAATTCTACCATATACCTGGGGAAACTGACCGTTCCTATGCTCCCAAATCTCATACCCTCTGTGGGCATCTTGCAGCACTCCTTCCAGCCTATTCCCACCGTTTTCGCCTTCTCTGCTTGCTTACAGGTAGAAATACCTGGTAAAGAGCAGCTCAGAATTTAGAGTAGGACAGGACCTTAGCAGTCCTCTTCCTGCATGGCATGATTCAGCTTGAGCTTCACCAATAGGGAGTAGATATTAATATTCCTTTTGATATTTTGACCAAGTCATTCAATAAACAGTTACAGTTTATAACTAGCAACCCTACTAGGTTCAGTGGTGGATTTTAAAATTCCCTTTAATTAGTTTACATACCAGTGAGGTGTTGTCTTAGTTGTTTGTACCTTTCCCCAGCACTTATATTTGGGAGATGGAACAGTTTAAAGCCACATTAAAACATGACCTGGGGATAAAAACTTAGGAACTTTTGATGGATGTAGTCCCATGACAAACCTGCTTCTCATGGTATGACTTTTAAAAGTGATATTACCTAAATTGAAAACTCTGAATTCAAACCTTCTTAAGATAATTTAATAGGTTAGAGGATATGAGGAGTAAGTATTTCACAATGCAGGTAATAGAAAGCTCATAATTTTAAAATACCTCTAGATTTATAAAGGATCAATTAGAACTTTTTAATAATTGTTGCTCAAATTGGAATAAGAGAAATAAACTTCACAAGTGAAGCACAATATCATGTATATCCACAAGACAGTGATCCTAATTAGAATAAGGTATATGCCCATGTTTGTATAAATATGTCAAAATAGACTCTACTGTCATGCATAACTAAAAAGAACAAATAAAAAAAGAAAAATAAAACTCCTGGACTTAGTTTCAAAAATCAAATAAATAAATACATAATGAGGCCCAGCCATTGGTTGGCTAGAAAAGACCTGTAGGCATCTATCAAGAACAAATTAAGTAGGAGCCCAAAACATGATGTGAATGCAACACACTCCTGCACCCTTGAGGGATCTCTCCAATAATAGGGTCCAAGATTTCTCAATGGTTTATAGTTCTTTCCAATAATCAAATCACATTAGGACATTAACCAACACAAGCATGTTCACTATAAGGTGGTCAGTATGTGAAAATATCTATCACAGGATCTCAAAAAGAAGCAGATGAGGTTGGGAGTGTGAGATTAAGACAAGACTGACCATCTTTCCAGCCTCCAGAAAGACAGACAGAAACATTAACATTATAAGAAATAATCATTTCCAGAATTGGACTTTCTGCCTCCCCAGAGAGAAAGAGGGGTCAGAGGAGCCGATTTAACAATCTCCAACTAGGAGCTGTCACTCACCTTTGGACAGCAGGTTAAGGGTACAGTTACCCACAGCCAGGAGGGGATTCAGATCTGAATCTAGATGCCTGCTCACAATGTGGCCCCCTAAAGACTTTTAAAAATAATAAGTTATTTTTACTTTAGTTTTATAATTATAAAAACATGAGCACTAAAATAAGGATTAAACAAACTTTGGAGAACTATTCCTTTTGTTTGTTCTTAAAGAACAAAAATGTTTCCTGAGGGAATAGTCATCCACCAGAGTTTATTGCCATCAAATACATACAGCCATGTTCCTGATCTGGGACCCAGCCAGGGTTCTCAGATGCTTCAAGAGAGCATGGTACGTCTTAGTGTTCTCTTCTGGGAGCTTCTGGACCATATCAGCCAGGATGTCCTTCACCTGAGCCAGGCTGAGGCCAGCACCCAGGGTCAGTCCTAAAATAAGGTCATGCATAAATAATGCCATGTGATCACTTCTTACTTGAAAATGTCCACTGGACCAAAGCTTCAGACAAGGAATCTTTATAGTAGATACATGTTGTCCTACTTATATGTGGTGGTGGTGGTAGAGGTGGTGATGGTGGGAGTGGTGGGGCGATGATGGTGATGATGGCAGTAGAGGTAGTGGTGATGATGGGTGGGGGTGATGATGGTAGAGGCAGTGATGGCAATGGAGGTGGTGGTGGTGGTGATGGTGATGACAGTGGTAGAGGTAGAGATGGTGATGGGTGGGAAGGTCATGGTGGTTGTAGAGGTGGTGGGATGATGGAGGTGGTAGTGGTGATAGAATTGACTGTGGAGATGATGAAGGCTAAATTCTTTGAACACCCACTGTATCAAGCACTACTCATTCTATCATGCTTAATCTCCACAATCTGAACAAATTTATGATATATTAATTGCCATAGTAAACAATTAGATTCCAGAGACTATATTTCAAACCCACACTCATGTTGCTTCTCATCATTGTCATTAAATCAACTTCCTTTCAGGAATGGAGAGGTCAGTGCATAAGCTGCTTAATACATAAACTTGCTTTGCCTGCTTCTGGAGAGCAGAGGTTGCATCCTTTTCACCTTTCTCTTCTGTTCAGTACTTAGCCCAGGACCCTCATTGAGTAATTCTTACCTTCTCTGGTGTTGCAGACAAGGAAATTGCTTCAGTAAAAACATCTGACTATTCAGACAATTAATATCTGGTATAACTTTAGAGAATTCTTCCTAAGCCCCTCTCCGAATGTTATCATTCTTAGAAGAGAATTCCTATTATAATTAGGAAAAATTCTGTCTGCTTGTTTGCAATAACAACAAAGTTGATTAATGTGTCTTAACTAAGAGAGCAAAGGCCTTAAGAACTTACCATTGCATGAATGATTCACAATATTTAGTTCTTTAATTCTATCAGGAGAAATTATAACTGGGTGGAAGACACCTTTAAATTTCATTTCAGGCCCTAAAGAATTAGGGGGGAAAAAACCAAGAAGATTAGAATAAATGGGGGCTAACTGTCCTTTTAATTTTTAAATTACAATCAAAATGATGATTTTAAACATATTAAAGTTATATATCTACTGGTCTAGTTATTGTCAACCCAGACCCAGAGAAAATGGCTGGGTACATTTTCATTAAAATTGGAAGACTCTTTGGAATTATCAACCCTAAAACTTGGGCCTTATGGCATGCTCAGAATTCTCCTTGGAAAGACTCTGGGGTGGGGGTGAGGGCATGTTCTTAATGAATGGGGCAAACTGAACCTACATTTGCTACCACAGAAGCCCCTGAAACTGCAGCATCAGTAAAACATATTATCTTCATTGAGACACCACCCAGAGAAGGAACAGAGAGAGAAGCTTCAAGATGAGGCTCAGATTAATTCCCAATGAATGGCAAGACAACCATCCTCAGCCCCTCTGCTGTTGGCTTGCTACAGAGCTAGCTTGTGAGGCACAACTCTGGGCACCGAAGGACACAAGGGATTTATTTCTGCGGTTATAAAAAGTCTCTTGAGGGGCTGGGGGTGTGGCTCAGTGGTAGAGCGCTTGGCTAGCATGTGTGAGGCACTGGGTTCAATTCTCATCACCGCATCTCAATAAATAAAGATCCATTGACACCTAAAAAATATTTTTTAAAAAGTCTCTTGAGCAATGATGAGGAAGTTGAGTCCAAAGGATTAAAAATGCTATTCCAGATTATTATATTTGAAAACACACATATATGAGGCTGTTTTCCTTCTGAGTCCTTTCCCTTGATTTCCCCATAAGAAGTCCCTGGGTGTCTACATACCCACAGAGGTGTTCCCCATGACAATAGGGGCCTGGGGATACTTGAATTTAGCTTCCAGAAGTTCCTTCAGGGTCACCGGGGAAATCCATGTCATTCTATCACCATGAAAAACCCTGGTTTTGGGGGGTTGTTTCTCAGCCATTATCTATTGAAAAAGCAATGGGGATTCAAGATACATATGACACCATTTCCACCCATTTTTGCTTTATCATTGTAGGAACAAAGAAAAGAAATACAGATTTTCTGAAAAACAAAATAAATGACCTAAAAAGTGGAGCTTTACAAGGAATCAGAGTTCGAGATAAAAATATAACAGTATTTTTCTCCTTCTAGAGGCTCTCCATGTAAATCCCTTTGGTGCTCTTACATCTCAAAGAAATTCATTTTAATGTTAAACATGCTGAATTTTGTCAAATCATCCTATGGAAGAATGAACTACAGCAAAACTGGAAGCAGAAAACGTGTCTACATTTATAGGCATTGTGACTGCATGGCTTTTTACAGACACCACCAGTTCCTTCTTTCAGTCAAATGACCCCTCCTGGTGACTCCACCCTCATTCCCCCACCTCTTCCTTGGTCCACACTTTTTAGACCTTGAGATAAGGATGACAAAAAGGTGTTACCTATTTGCTAGTCAGCTTCTGAAAGAATCCAGAATTCCTCTATAAATCAACCCTCTAGACACAACATTGCCTATCTTACCATTAGCTCTGGAGGAAATATCAGCTCCTGGGTTGGATCCAAGGGCAGAAACTCCTCTTCTGAGAAGAGTTTTGAATTTGTCTTAAAGAGAAAAAATACCGGAGGTTACAGTAGTTCCCACTTTTCTAGAGGGATATGTCCCAAGACCCCCAATGGCTTCTGGAAGCTGTGGATCATATTGAACCTTATATATGCTGTCTTACTCTATTCATTCTTACTATAAATCTTAGCAATCACAGCATACAACTTTCTTTCCTTATTTTGTTGAGAACTTTCACCTTTTCACTTAAAGGAAGTACTTTACAGTTACCATTTGGTGTATCTAAATTACCAGCATCACTATTCTTGTGCTTTGGAGCCCTTAATAAATAAAAGAAGAGTTACTTGAACACAAGCCGTGCAATACTTTGACAGATGACTTGATAACTAAGATGACTACTAAATAAATGACAAATAGGTGGGTAGCATAGATAAAGTGGAATACATTGGACAAAGGGAAGATTCATATTCTGGATAAAATAAAGGAGGACAGTATGAGATTTCATCACACTACTCAGAATGGCATGTAGTTTGAAACTGCAGGATAACTGACATACCTATCACCTCAGATATTTATCACTTATTTGTGTTGAGAACATTCATAATCCTCCCTACTGGCTATTTTGAAATATTCAATTAATTGCTGTCAACCATAATTATCTCACTGACTATTGAACAATTAGAACATATTCCTCCTATCTAACTGTACCCCTGTACCTATTTCCGGTCTTCTATCTGCCTGCTCCTTCCTGGGCTGATTTTTTAAAAATAGAAATGAAGTGAGAATGAGAAGGAACATGTTAACACAGCTTGGGGAGGAAGGTATTCTTTCTAAGAGCAAGTCAGTCATTGCACATGTCCTGAGAAAACTTTAAAACAACTTTACATTTCACTCACTTTATTTCCTTCCTCAAGTTCTGGTAATCCGTTTATTCCTTGATCCAAACAGCAAGTCCCATTTTCTTTACCTTGACAACAGCCAAAAGTCTAATGAGAAAAAAAAAAATCAGTAGGAATTTAATGCTGATCCTACTAAATATTAAATAAAGTGGGTAACTACCAGATAAACCTCATAATATAGAATCATTATGATTAGGTGTCATAAAGGAGAATTGTTTGTACTTAAACACATCCAAACTAACTCTAATGAAAAACCTGAGCTTATAAGGAATTTGGAATAGCAGTGTACATTAAACAAGTTAAACTATGTGAATCTCCTATAACAAAGCCTGGCACACAGCAATTACTATTATTAATGATTAATGATTAAAATTAATAATATTAAATATTTCAAACATTTAACAATAAATATGCACAACTATTGGCATATAAACACTCTGTTCTTATCTATGACATCATTCTTTCACAGGTTACTTCCAAAAGACTGTCTTTTGTCTTCCATTCCAAGGTTGTTTATTCATTTACTCATTTAATAAATATTGATTAACCACTCAATTAGAACATGGTGACCAGCCATGGAGATATACAGCCTCTGCTGCAAGTAGCACACAGTCTAGTGAAGAGATGGAACAGCATATGGGCAATGGTGCCACACTATCACCAATGCTATGCAGGGCATGCCCATATACATCCCAGGTGCAAAGGAGCAAGAGGAGCTCCTGGGAAGGTACCTGACTTAAACAGATCAGGAATGGCCTCTTGCAAGCAATAACTGCCACCAATGTCAAAATGCTTAGGTGCTCACGATGAAACTACTAAGGCAAGCTCAATGAATGAGGGTAATCCTCCTGCCCAAGGCTAAAGAGCAAATAACAATCATAGACCTCGAGATAGGAAGTAGCCCTGTATTACAATGGCTATTCCTCTAATCACACCTGATGAACCCTACAACTTTGCTTCATTGGGGAAAAATATACTCATTCACAAGTTCTTTTCTACTTACTTTACTGAAAGTCTTGCATGTGTCAATTATGGGCCTGTATCCAGTGCAGCGGCACAGGTTACCTGAAAGAGGAAACCCCAGCTCTGTTAATTGAGTAACCTAGACAAAAGCACAAGCTGCCAAACACACAATAAAAAGAAGGACCTCATCCCAGAAGGAAGTTCTGTTGGACATTTCAGTCTACCTAATCTGCACAAATTTTTACATCAGCAATTTGAGATATTTAATTGAGAATCCTGAGGTGGATTTTAACAGCTCAGCTACCTAAGTTTCCTCCTGCTGCTTATTTGTTCATTTTTCATTCATGCACTCAGTCATTCAATAACAAGGATACTTAACAAAAGACCTGCCCTCTTAGCAAATGTTTAGGTATATAATAGAGTGGTGATAACTATGGGCACCATGCTGTACATTATCTCTCTAAGACTTATTCCTCTTGCATAACAAACTTTGACAATCACTCATTTTCCCTTTCCCCAGGTCCTGCTAGTCACCATTCTATTTTCTGCTTTGCTGAATTTGACTATTTTAGGTTCTTCATATAAGAGGGATCATGAAATATTTGCTCTTCTGTGTCTGGCTTATTCCATTCAGTTAGCATAATGTTTTCTAGGTTCGTCCATGTTTTTGCAAACAAAAAAAGATTTTATTCTTTTGTTAGTGGTGATAACTGGGGATTGAACTCAGGGGTATGCAACTACTGAGCCACATCCCCAGCCCAATTTTGTATTTTATTTAGATACAGGGTCTCACTGAATTGCTTAGAGCCTCGCTTTTGCTGAGGTTGGCTTTGAACTTGTAAACTCCTATCTCAGCCTCCAGAGCCACTGGGATTATTGGCATGCACCACCACACCCGGCTTTTATTCTCCTTTTAAAAGAAGAAAATCCCTTATTATTAATACTTACTATGGCAATTATCAATTTATTGCAAGAGAGGAGAAGAGAGATATAAAGAGTATGTGTTAAGCTTCAGTTGATAGAAAGATGGATAATATTATATAGAAGCAAAGGTAGTTATTAAACTTTGGAAGCAACTGGGCCCATAATTCATTTATAATAAATCACTACCAGGTCAGTGTTTCTCTCACAGTGGTCTCGTAGGCTTCCGCCACCCCCATCTGACATATGATTTTAAAAAACAAGACCTTAGAGCCAAATTCTATGGTCGTGGGTTCCAAAATTTTTCATTATTTACAAATTTCCCATATATGTCTTTACCCTAAAATTTGAGAACCCTTATCAACTGTTTACATTTAAAAACAGCCATGAAATCAAAGGCAGGATGAGACTAAAGGAAATTAGGCAGAATAAAGTTCATATACTGTCTCTTCCGCTTCTGTTTGCCCTAGTTTTCCCTGGAACATTCTGCAGAGGAAGTGTAGACATGAGCTTCAGTCTCATGCTTGGTGAGCAGAGAAACAAGGTCTTCAGGAGGTCAAAAACAAAGACAAATTGAGCCATGGAGAGTATCAACAGACATAGGATTTGAGAGGCTGTGTTTTTGTTTTTACTTTCATTTTTTGTTTTTTGGTACTGGGGATCAAACCTAAGGGCACTTAACCCTGAGCCATATCCTCAGCCATTTTTATTTTTTATTTTGAGACAGGTCTTACTAAGTTGCTGTGGGCCTTGCTAAGTTGCTGAGGCTACCCTCAAACTTGTAATCCCCCACCCTCAGCCTCCTGAGTCACTGGAATTATAGGCGTGAGCCAGAGCCTAGCTGTTATTTTTTTTTTTAATTTTTGTAGAATCTTGTTGATGAAGACCACCCCCCGCATGCACACATATACACTGAGATCTTGAACTTGATAAAATCTTTCCAGAGTGGCCTCAGACAGTTCTTTGAAATAAGAAATCATCAGAAGATCTTTTCATGCTATGTTCATCAATGGTCTTCTGATTTGTGAGATGTTGCTGAGATCACCTACCCTGAGCAGTAAGAGAGCAACTTGTAGAGGTAATTGGTTTCTTTCCAAGGGTAAATGAATAACCTGGCTTTTTAATGATTATAAAAATAGGCAAACAACTGATAAAAAGAAGAAAATCTTAAAGACAGAAGACTGAGAAATACATTGGCCAAATGCGATGTGCGACCTAATTGAAGCTTGATTTCAACAAACCTACTCTTCTACACCTAGGTGGCATACTTTAAATGACTGTCTCCAAACTTCAGCTTCTCCATCTATGAAATGGGGATACTAACAGTACCTGTCTTATAAAGTTATTGTAAGATAATCTTAAAACAGCATTTGTGTGGTACACGGTAAGGTGTCTAATATCAGCTGTTGTCATCATCGTTACAAAAACACACACACACACACACACAACCTACCACCAAGGGCTTCCATTAACTGATCAAGAGTGGGCTCTGGATGGTTCCTGAGCAGCGTGTAGATGGACATCACCATCCCAGGGGTGCAGAATCCACACTGGGTGCCGTGGCACTTGGCAATCCTCTCCTGGAAGGACAGAACATTTACAAATGCAGATCTTGAGCTCCATTCCAGACCTACTAAACCAGACCCTCCATTTTAGAAGATCTCCAGATACTTCTGGGCATATTAAATTTGAAGAAGAGGCCCCTGAAAGCCCTTCTTATCCCAGAGGGCCTAGTATCTTTGGCCTGGGTTGTCAAGATCCCCGCTTCTCATCAGCTTTTAAGCTTCACTTACAGCAGAGGTTCTCAGCCTTTGGAATCACCAGGAAGGCTCAACACTTCCAAGGACCCAGCTGTACCCCAGACCAATTAACTAAAAGACTGTGCAAGTGAGGTACAGGAATAATATCTTTTAAAGATTCCTAGGTGGTTTCAAGGTACAGTTGCAGTTGTGGGTCAATTATATCAAGGAAATCCTTCAGAGAAATGAGTCAAATTACACTCAAATTGAGAAATTAACGAAGAAAAATTTTCTGAGTATTTCTTTCTTTCTTTTTTGGGGGGGCTCGGGGTGGATATCAGGAATTGAACTCAGGAGCACTCAACTACTGAGCTACATCCCCAATCCTATTTTGCATTTTATGTAGAGACAGGGTCTCACTGAGTTGCTTGGCACCTCATTTTTGCTGAGGCTGGCTTTGAACTCGCGATTCTCCTGACTCAGCCTCTCGAGCCACTGGGATTGCAGGCATGCGCCACCACACCCAGCCTCTGAGTATTTCTTGAGTTTTATCTGCCAACTACTGTACTGATGCTGTTACACACAGTTTACAAAGGCCACCACTAATCCAGATGAGGAAACAGGAAGTACTGCCTTAACTGTTCTGGTACTTTTTGCCCCTCTTTGGAGTCTAATTTCCAAAGGACAGGTCCAGTTTGCAAACTGCTTTCTGGCAACATTGTGAAGATGGGAGCTCAGCAGTAGTTGAGGATGAAAGAGTTCCCGTGCTTGTATACAGCCAAGTCTCACAGGGACACCCAGGAGAATCTTCTCCCGCTAGCTAGTGAGGTTTCAGAGAAATAAACAAAATTCCTTCATGTCTAGAGAATCTGAAGCTGGGCTATTTTCTAGGCTGCTCCCGTGTTTTCCAACTTTTGTCCACTTCTCATAATGAATTTCCTTAACTTAGATCAAAACAAGTATGATTTCAACAAACCTACTCTTAAAAGCTTAAAAGCTTATGAGAAGCAGGGATCTTGACAACCCAGGCCACTTTGGGGGATTCTGAAGGTATCTTTCACTTGGGGGACAAGCTCTAAGGAGATTGTTTTAGGAGAAAAGTCACAAAATTCATTGATGGGGCCTCTCAGCTGTCTTCTGAACAAGCCCTATGTTTAACAAATTTTTTTGGTAGCTGATACTTCCATGTAATTTTCCACTGTACAAACAAACAAAACAAGAAAAAATATATAAAATTATATCCCTCAATGCACTGACTCTTCTACCTTTATGAGTTTGGAACATAAGATGGTCAGGTCCCATTTAATTAAAACATAGAGAAAACATGAGAGGTCATGTCAGTATTTTCTTAGGGAAAAGTCAAGCACATGCCTGTAATTCCAGTGGCTTGGGAAGCTGAGGCAGTAGAATCATGAGTTAAAAACTAGCCTCAGCAAAAGCAAGGCACTTAGCAACTCAGTGAGACCCTGTCTCTAAATAAAATACAAAACAGGGCTGGAACTTGACTCAGCAGTTGAGTGCTCCTGAGTTCAATCCCCGGTACCTCACTCCCCCTCTTCCAAAAGCGCCTTTCCAAGGCAGTCACAAAATCATATCACAGCATGCCAGGTTTATTCTCAGCTCCAGCTGGGTTTAACCTGTTAGCAGTGACCAAGCAGCAGGGCCCAGGTGGCTCTACTCTCAATCTCGGGACTCACAATGTCATTCGTGGTTTTCCAAGCATAGAGACCCTGTGAGAAAGAGGCACATCCACACCTGAACAGGATGAATTCTCGTCTTGGTGCTTCCTATGCCTTCAACTGTGGTGATGGCGGCACCGTACAAAGAACAGATGGGGGTCAGGCAGGCGTTGGCAGGGTAGTGTCTTCAGGATGCAAAAAAGAAGAACAGAGTATAAATAGCATCATGTCTAGTGGGAAAGAGGACTGGGTCCTCATGGTACCAAGTCCTCATTTTCTACAGGGCAGGTTTTGTATGACTTCCCCAGGCTGAGAATCTGCAATTGGTCCTTAGCTCACACTCATTTTACAGAAGTATAATCTGAGGTTCTGAGTGATTTACTCAAGGTTACAGTGGGAATGTGGACAGCACGGTTTAAATTCTGCCTCCTAACTCTAATTCCAGAATAGCTTCAGCTAACCTTAGTTGTTTTTCTTCTTGAATGAAGGGCTGACATTCTCTAGTTACATGTAACTACCTATCCACCCAAGGCCTTGTTCCACCTTCCAGGCAGATGCTGGGCTAAGGTTATTGGTCAATAAAGTGAACTTTGAGGTCATTCTTCAGATAGATCGAGTGTGAGATACAGAACACTTAATCCCACAAAAGCAAAAAAAAAAAAAAATACTGCTAGAAAATGTCCAGTTCAAGATGACTCCTACAATGTTCTTATTCACCAAACAGAACTACAGGTGGCCATGAACACTTGAAGTGTTCCTCAAACACTTGAAGTGAACCTCAAAAATGATCACGAGGGACTCAAATTAAGCAATGAGAAATACTGTATTATCAAAGAAAATGATAAATGTTTTTAAAAATTATAGAATCTATTATCAGCAAAGATTTGGAAAATGGGATTTATATACTATTTACAAGAATGTAAATGAAGCTCTCCCAAAGTTCTTCTGGAAGACACTTCATTGGAAAACATTTTTAAAAGCTTTAAAATATGCATACTCTTTACTCTGCAATCCCACCTCTATAGATGTTTTATAAAGAAATAATCACTGACACAAATATAAGAAGTTTCATTGATGCATAGCTGATATTAATGAAAATTAATACAGTCTAAGTTATTCCTATTTGGGGATGAGTTTTAGTCCACCAAAATGATAGAACATACATAGCCATTGACATTTTATTTACTAAAACATATCCATGAAAAATTAGGCAAAATATATAGGTATTTAAACACTATGTGCAGTATGCTTCCACATGATAAACACAAAAGAAAGACTGGAAGGAAATTATTTATTGATAAGTAAATATAAATATTCATTGAGTGCTTACTATGTGCCAGGCAGATTTCTGGGTGCTAAGATTCATTCACAAAATAGAGAAAATAGCTGCAGAATGCATATTCTGGTTGAAGGAAGGGGAAGAACATGTACATAGACAATACACAATACACTTTGTGCAATTGAGATGATGAGAAGTGCTGTGAATAAATTAGTGCAGGCTAAGTGAATAGAGAAAGTTGTGAAGGTGAAGGGGGCACATAGTGAAAGAGAGATGAGTATTGGCTTTAAGGCAGCTGAGTTTGCAGTTCAGATGTAGAAAGTTTTAAGAGACCATCATTCTTGTTCTAAAGCCAAAACAAGCTACAAAAACATATTTTTTAAAAAAAAAACCTCACCCCATACTGAGTACATAAGAAACCTAAATAAAATCTCTTATGTGACAAACTCTTGTAAGACAGAAGACACAGCTGCTGTCATCCCTAAGGTACAGTTGTTCTCTTCCTGAAATGGAAGAAGAAGGAGGAGGAGGTGGAATCTGCCTTAGACAGGAAGGAGGAGAAACCAGACTGACTTTTTTTCTTTTCACATACAAAAGATCTTCAACAGGATCTTTTCCTAAAATTCTAATTAGTTCTATATGACAGCAGAATGCAATTCAATTCATATTATCCAAATACAGCACAATTTTTCATGTCTCTGGTTGTACACAAAGTAGAGTCACACTATTCATGTTTTCATATATGTACTTAGGTTAATGATGTCCGTCTCATGCCACCATCTTTCCTACCCATAGGCCCCCTTCTCTTCCCCTCCTTCTCCTTTTCCCTATCTAAAGTTCAAACCAGACTGATTTTTAATAAGCTATCAATGGTCACTTGTAGGTGGATATTAACAGATTAAAATACAAAGCTAGACTGCATTATCCTCTGCTGGAGGTAGAGACCAAAAAATGGAGGTGGGGAAGGAGAGCTGAAAGAAACTCTCCAGGCAAAGAAAGAAGACTGTGGAGGAAGAAAAAACTTTAGGCACTCCACCTTCAGGGAGTGTAGGATTGTTGCTATACTTTAGAGGCTAAAAACAAAACAATATGGATGCAAGAGAGCCCCCAGAGCATGGAAAGGAAGAAAGGAGAGCAAAGAGAACTCCCAGTGGCCTAAAAAGTTGGCAAACCAGGCTGAAAAGCAGGGTGAAATCTCTCAGAGTTCAGAAAGCAGGTGGCTTGGCTATGGTGCACAGGCGTATCTGAAATCAAACCAGTGCTAGACCCTTAGCCCACATCCAAGCTCTGTGGAATAACATAAAATGTCTTAACATGTATAATGGGAGTTGCAGAAGAGGGGGAAGAAAAATAGCAAAGGTAAAAATTTGAAGAGATAATGCCTTGAGAAATTTCTAAAGCTGATGGAAGACATCAACCTATAGAGCCCAGAAACTTGGTGACCTTGAAGGACACACACCAAACACAGAGATGTTAAACATAATGGGAAGCTGTTGGTGTGCTTTAAGCAGAAGCAGGATAGGATCTCTCCGCTGATGGAGAGAGAATGCACTGCGTGGGAGCAAGGAGATGAATTAACAGGCTGTAAGAGTTATTCTCCTCTACCATTTCTACCTGGCCTTTCCTGCCCAAACAGCAGAGTGAGTCTAGCCTGAAAATAATTGTGATACAAACATAGTAGGTGCTTGATACATATTTACCAAATGAAGACATTAAACAAAATTGTAAAAATTGAACCATATCTGCACTTTGCTGCAAGGCACCTTATCCTCTTGGTGATGGGGTCATACTGTGAGATCATCACTGTGCAGGCACCGCAGCCTCCCCCGCCACAGCCATACTTAGTCCCTGTGAGTCGCACTGCAAGAAGCATGGTTAAGAACAATGTGTTTTCCATGATTCTTTTTCTAGAATAGCCCTGACCTTGTCAAACAGCACCTTCACAGACTCTTAACATATTTCTAAGTTCAACACATTTGTCAAGTGGTGTACTTAGCTACTGTTTTAGTCTCGTAAATTCTTGATTTCCTTGTGTGTCTTTATAGCACGTCTTTGAAATAAACTGGACCTCATGTTGCCAAAAACAGGGCCAAACTACAACGGAAAGAGTCTATACATGTACAACTTTGAGCATATTAAGGTATAAGGACACTTCACATTTGTTCTCATCTTTATTTGAGTCTGTAATGACATACAAAGTAAATGTTAAATTATGAATGACTTATGGACTATTTGTGTCATATTAGCCATGTTTATCTGCCTTTCAGGGGCAGAAACTGCTACTTGTTACCCTGTATTTGTTCCCTCATTATTACTCAATAGTTGAAACCTCAAACTTTAGACACATGTATGGCTGTCCAGAATCAAAGTATACATTTTTTCCAGCCTCCTCTGTCACTACATGGGGTCATTAACAATGCTAGTCAATGGGAAGTAAATATAAGTACTATGTATGACATCCACAAGAGAAGTGTACTCAAAAGAGGGGTGCCCCCTTCTTTGTCCATTCCTCCTTTCTCTCTGCTGGAATTCAGTTGTAACAACTGGATCTCAATTAGTCACCTCTACGAGGTAAAAGCTTCATGCTGAGGAGGGTGGAGCAGACATAAGCCTTCCCTGATAACTTTTTGGCACTGCTTCTTAATTCTGATCAACCTATCTTTCATTTCCTCAAGGGGAGCATGACAGTCACGGGAGCAGACTTTCGTCAACAGGGGTGGTGACTGACTAAGCCATCCGGCTGCTGTACTCAGGAAGTGATCGCCACCACCTTCATGAGATCCAAACCTCCCCGGGGCTGATCTCCACAAGCGACTCTGTGTTGTGGAAAGACACGGAGTCCATGTCAACCATCCCCAACGCTTTGATGTCCATGCCTTGTACTGACCAGAAGCCCAGAGCCCTTCCACTCAAACTTCCCTCAAGGGGTGGGGGGAAGGACTTCCTTCCTTGGGAAGGAAAAACTGCACTTTACAGAGGCTCCCCGAGCCCTCTCTGAGTCACTCCTTACCTCCTGTCACACAGGCATTTAACCCTCACATATGTAGCTTTATTTCTGGTGTCGGCTTCCTGGAGATCCTGAACAAACACAATGAGAAACAAATACACTTCTGTCTTCCATCCTGTCTACTACTATTTGGGTTTTCTGTCACTCACAGTGAGCCAGACTTCAAATAGTACACATAGGCACTGTGGTTGACTAGGAAGTCAGCATTCATTGTTGTTATGTTTGAAGATCTTGGATGGCTTTAGGAACATGCTCACGTGTCTGAGATTTCAGGTTGAATTTCTCCAATTTTATTTTACTTTCATTTCATGAGATTCCTGTGCTTTATTTTGTAATGGAAATGCTGATTAATCATTACAGACAGAGTGAAATCTTGTGTCCCTCAAGGATACAAAGGATGCTTAATTAATCCCTTTTAATATCAACTGCTTTAATTCCCATTGCTCGTTTCACTGTTTAAGCCATCTACTTAGTGCTAAAATAGAGATCAGAAAAGAACTTGGTTCTCTTGACGGCCACAATTGTGCACTGACTATAAAACTAAGATGTAGGACTTCCTCAAAGATGAACATAATAGTAGGGCAGATGCCTCCGTGTAGTTCTAAAAACATTTGAAATATCATCTGATGAGAACACTGCAGCTAAACATATACAAGCATGCACGTGCTTGCACACACACACACACACACACACACACACACACACACACACACACACATTTGAAGCAAAGAAAAGGATACGATTCTTCCTCAGATATGGTAACAGCATTGTTTCTGGATTGACGTTTTTTTCTATGACCTATACAACAGAGAAAATCAAGAGTTATACACGCAAAATCGAGAGAGCTACTTTGGTAGGCTCATGCAAACTTGAGGAAAATGCACTTTTTTTTCATTTTCTTTTTTTTTTATTGGTTGCTCAAAACATTACAAAGCTCTTGATGTATCATATTTCATACATTAGATTCAAGTGAGTTATGAACTCCCATTTTTACCCCAAATACAGATTGCAGAATCACATCGGTTACACATCCACATTTTTACATAATGCCATATTAGTGACTGTTGTATTCTGCTACCTTTCCTATCCTCTACTATCCCCCCTCCCCTCCCATCTTCTCTCTCTACCCCATCTACTGTAATTCATTTCTCTCCTTGTTTATTTTTCCGTTCCCCTCACAACCTCTTATATATAATTTGGTATAACAATGAGGGTCTCCTTCCATTTCCATGCAATTTCCCTTTTCTCTCCCTTTCCCTCCCACCTCATGTCTCTGTTTAATGTTAATCTTTTCCTTCTGCTCTTCCTCCCTGCTCTGTTCTTAGTTGCTCTCATTATATCAAAAAAGACATTTGGTATTTATTTTTTAGGGATTGGCTAGCTTCACTTAGCATAATCTGCTCTAGTGCCATCCATTTCCCTGCAAATTCCATGATTTTGTCATTTTTTAGTGCTGCAGAATACTCCATGGTGTATAAATGCCACATTTTTTTATCCATTCATCTATTGAAGGGCATCTGGGTTGGTTCCACAGTCTAGCTATTGTGAATTGTGCTGCTATGAACATTGATGTGGGAAAATGCACACTAACACGTTTTCAAGTTGATTTCAGGTTTAAGGAACCTGTGACACATGAATTTGCCTCTCAAGTGTAGAGTTTAAATCTTGCCCCAGCCTCCAGTCCCCACCCTGCCACTGTCCTTAGTCCTGAATTATCACTGTTCTCTAAGGTAGTGGTTGTTTCTACTAACAGGAACAGCAGGGACTTCTGTCCAGATTCTCCTGGAAACTCTGAAGCAGCTGAGAGGAGCTGATGGAACAGATGAGTCTCTGAGAAATCAATAAAGTTAACTAAAAGACTTGTTTGTTTACCAAATAATTAGCTTCCACAAAGAGACCACAACCAACCATGGCCCCAAATCAAAGAAGCCAAGGAGAAGATATGATGGCTAGGCCAGTGATGCCAAGCTGTGTGGCAGGGCACACCTGAGCAGGTGTGTGTGTGAGCTGCAGCACAGCATGGGACAGCCATACCCAGGAATGGCATGACTAAGATGTCACCATCGGTCATGTTTTTCAAAGTGACCATGTTATCTCATTTTGCATTAAAGGTTTGAGATTTCTTTTAGATTAGCAGAACAGATAAAAGCATATTTTGCTTCTCAGATTCAGAAGCCAAAATCATCTTTCATAATGTTGTAATGTTGAGTAGTTTGCCCTTCAGGGAGGAAGGTAAGGAGGAGCAAGAAGGATCTCGGGCTGCCTCCTCACTCTCTCAATTCTGACAGCCATAGGGCAGACAAAAGTGAGGGTTATGCCAATTGCCACAGTCTGTACCCTAGGGGACTCTGCAATACAGAAAGAGAGATGTGTGTATCACGCACGCACATGTACACATTCTACAAGAAAAATGGGAGGTATGTTCCAGGCATCCTCCAGATAACTGGCCCTCAGTGGAACTCTTTGCTTTATTTCCCCAACTTCTTTTTTCCTCTTCCTCAATCTATTTTGTGGCCTCATTATCTGCTGGGTCATCTAAGCTTAGAAACCTGAGCCATTTTCAATTTTTCTTCCTTTCAGCCCACTGCGATCAGTGTCACCTAGTTCACACCTCCAAGATGATTCTCTAAACACCCTTCACTTCTATTGCCACCACCTGGCACGAGCTCTTACCACCTTGAGCCTGAACAATTAATCACTGCCTAGTGTGTCTTCCCACATCCACTTTGGCACCTGCAATGCCTCCCTGTACCCCACTACCAGAGTGATCACTCTAAAACCCAAGTCCTATCATTTCATGTATCTGCTTAAATTCAGCATAACTCCTGGCTGCCAGACTGCCATTCTGGGACTTACTGAATCATCCAGGTGCTTGTTAAAATAAAGCCCCTCTGGAGAGAGAATTTCTGGGAGAGAAAACCAAAAATATGCATCTTTAATGAGCAAGCTGAATGGGTCTTAGTGAATTTATACTCAAGGGTTCCCACAGTCCTAGAAGAAATTTAAACTCCTTGGCAATGTATCTCTGATAAACTGCCCATCATTTCATGCCAACTGACCCATGTATCTTGAATCAGATACAAGAACTGGCTGGTCTCAGAAGTTATATACTTTTAATTTTCATTTAAATTACATACAGGTTTCCTTCTGTCCTGAAAGTCCTCTCTCTCTCTCCCCTCTACTTGGCAGAGTTTTGCATGCCATTCAATGTCCTGCTCAAAATTCTCTGTGGAGAGTGCTGCTACCTAATATACCTTCCCCACTCCATATGGCAAGGAAGCATCCTCCTCTGTGAGCTCCTGGTCAACGACCTCACCTCTTATTGCACGGTTTACCCTGCATCATAATTATCTGTGCTTGTACAGCCTCTTTTGATCTTGGGAAAACTACCTTATGTTATTCTTTTTTTTTTTTTTTTTGCTTCAAACACTGAGCTCCGTGCTGGAAATATATCATAGGGACATAATTAATGTTAATTAATTAAATAAATAAATGTCATATGATGTGTCCAATTTGCTATGAGAACTCCAAGGAGGGAGGGATGATGTTTTACACAGAACAGAAGAAAAGAAAGGATAAAAAGAAACAAAAGAAGTTATTAATGGCAAAGACTGTTTACAATCCCAGGGTGCTTTCTCCTTTTTTTCCTTCTATCTTCCTGGAATAGGGATGAAATGGCTGGAACTCAAGTGGCTTTCATAGATCAGTGGGAAACAGAAACGTGGGTCCCAGATAACACGATGAACCTTCTGGAACACCCTCACAACTTCTGTCCCCATATATACATTCTTCAAAAAAGGAAAATGACTCCTATCTTATTTGAACTACTGTTACTTATTTTTTTTAGTTATAGATGGACACAATATCTTTATTTTATATTTATGTGGTGCTGAGGATCGAACCCAGTGCCTCATGCATGCCAGGCGAGCGCTCTACCACTGAGCCACATCCCCAGCCCAACTACTGTTACTTTTAAGCTTATACCACTGAATCTGAAACTAATCCTAATTTATATATATGATGGTGAATGTGCAGAAGCCCAGTTTTCATGGAGAGAAAGGATCTGGTTAGCCTGGAGAGTAAAGCATATTAGGCTTGAGGACATTGACATATTTTAGGAAAAAATTAACAGAAGCAGCCTTGCTGGTTTGGAATATTTATTCTAGTAAGTGTTTGAGGAGATTACAAAGCCAGCAAGTATCCTTCCTGTAAGCTCTTAGGGTGAAACAGGGAGGTCAGAACTACCACGGTGGCCAGGGGTGGGGCAGGGTGCAGAGCAGAGTTATTCTCAGGGACTCTGGATTAGAAAGTTAATTCTAGAAGGGCCTGGCTTCACTCAGACAGAAGTGAAGCCACAGTCACAGAATGTATCTATCCCAGCATAACTTTGGATGTTGCAAGGGTGAAATCTGTCCCTCTGTACTTCTGCTAGTTCTTTCAAGAGAGTCCAAGTTCACACTGTACAAGGCTCAGCCAGATCTAAGATAGAGGCCGAAGGAAGAAAGAGAAAAAGGGGGAAAGAACAGAAAATAAGGAAGGGAAGGAAGTACATGCAGAAGGACAAGGCCTGAGAGATAGAGGATGAGGGGAGACGGAGGTGAACATTGTAGGACACAGTAGAGAAGGACAAGAATCCACAGCAGAGAAGAAGACGTGAGGCACAGGCAGTGAGGACACTCGGGCTGTTTTAAAATCAGCCTCACTTGCTGCATCCTGCTGCCTCATCTGCATCCACCCCTTCCACTTTTCTCCGAAGCACTGCAGCCATCCCAGCGTCCCAGAAATTTCTTTTCTCTTCCCGGTAAATCAAGGACACTAACCAACAGAAAGCAACTTTCCAGATTTCTGCGCTAACGCTAAACAAGTAATGAGCAAACCGTGCTTATGACCACTTGTCTGTCTTCCTGGCTCCTCTGAGCAGATGCTGGCTCTACTAAGGAAGCCGATTGCTTTCTAGCTCAGGTATTAACAATAGTTCGCGCCTTGCTAACCATGGAATTAATTTTCATCCCAGTTCCACAAGAAAAGGTATGGTTATTAGTTTCATTTTGCAGAAGGGAAGGCTGAGACTCAGAGATATGAAACACCTTGCCTGAGGCCCCAGAGCTGCCTAGTGGTGGAGTAGCTACACAGTTGCAGAATTCAAACTTATTGATGCCTTGTTAGTTCCAAAGCCTACACCTTGGGTCTCTAGGCTTCACTCCCTGGTGGAACAAAGTGCTTCAGTTTCTTGGTTGAGATTAGAAAATGGTATCTACAGTATACTTAATCCATGGGCTTTTCCTCCCTTAAACTCATGTTCAATGGGTCACTGTTCTTCTGGGGTCCCCTGGAAAAGTGAAGATGGTTTCATAAATTTCTCCATAATTAGGTCTCTAGGCAATGTGAGCTGGCTTTGTTTTCCAGATGGCTTTAGCTCCTGCCTGATGACAACTTTTGGTGACATGGGAAGATTTTGCAAAAATCACAGACCAGAGACCAACCACATCACCTAAAGACTCTTAATTAGCTTCCAAGATTCATTTTCAAAGGCAATGTTTTAATCCCAGAGGTCTTGTTTCACTTTAAGATACCTCTTTCTTTTGGGTAGTTCCTCTCACACCATTCTCCACAATCTCTCACTCTTGGAATCAGAAAGTTTTTTCTAATTCTATCCATCTAGTAATTAGGCTTGCTTGTCAACGTTGGAACACCTAACAGAATTTGGAAGGGAGAGAAAGGGTAGAAAAAGGCTAATGTGATTTTTCTTTTAAATGAGGTAACTGCAAAAACTGAACTAATATCTCCAGAGTGTATTTTACAAATTATCTCAGGACATTTGGCCTATAGATAGGGTGGGCCCAATGATAAGAACAAGTTTATTCTCCTTAAAAATCAATGGAGCACGAACTTGTATTTGTCATGATGTTAAAAATCCCAATACTATTTCTTTGGAAGAAAGGGAGGAAAAAAGGGGAAGAAGATGTTAGATTCAAAATGCCTATTGCTTCACTTAATAAAAACTTTTTTTAATTATTAGAGCTTTATAGTTACACAGAGCATTTGGGTTCACCCCAACAAATTCATACATGCCTGGAATTCAATTTCAGTTTGTGATCCCCCTCCTTCTTCTACTAGAGTTCCTGTGGCTCGGCTATTAATTTGTATTTGATTGGTTCTTTATGTAATTTTTTTTTAAGAGAGAGTAAGAGAGAGAGAGAGAGAGAATTTTAATATTTTTATTTTTTAGTTCTCAGCGGACACAACATCTTTGTTTGTATGTGATACTGAGGATCGAACCCGGGCTGCACGCATGCCAGGCGAGTGCACTACCACTTGAGCCACATCCCCAGCCCTCTTTATGTAATCTTATCCTTTCCTTTCCCTTTCCTTTACTTCACTCTAGCTTCTGCATAAGAGAGAAAATATTCAAACTTCGAGTTTCTGAGTTTGGCTGATTTCACTTAGCATGATTTTCTCCATTTCCATCCATTTGCTAGCAAATGCCATCATTTCATTCTCTTCTTTGGATGAGTAGAACTCCATCATATACATACACCATAATTTCTTAATCTTTTCATCTATTGACAGACATCTGGGTCGATTCCAACAGTTAGCTATTGTGAATTGTGCTGCCTCACTACCGTATGTCTTTTTTTTAGATTGGTGAAATCACTAACTAAAACCTTTATCACCTAACACTCCTCTTCTAATCTGACCTTTGGCCCTGCCTCCAGCTCTACTGACCTACCCCATAAACACACAGAAGTCCTCCTGATCCCAGATCTTTTACCTGCAATGCGCTCTGCCTGAAATACTCATTCCCTGGTGTTTGCTTGCCTTACTCCTATTTCCTCCCAGTTGCTGCTCAAATGTCACCCTGAGAGGCCAAAATGTCCATCTCATCTCAAGTATCAGCTTCTGCCCATCTCCATACCCTCCCTTTGCTCTGTTTTCATACCAACACCCATCAATGCCTAACATCCTACATTTCTATTTATTTATTTGCTGTGGTCTGTTTCCCCCAGGCAGCGTAAACTCCATGCTTATAGGAACTTTGTTGTTTCCAGTGGACTTGCTGTTTCCCACAAATGTGAGCATGGGCTGGCATAATGTAGGCCCTTAGAAATAAAGCAGATTAAATAGTCACTCTTCATAAAGTGTATTGTCCCCTTTTAGGAGAGGGGCTGAGCCTCTGAAAGTCCTGGTTGGATCAATGAGAGAGCTGGAATTGAATCCTTGTTTGAGTAAATACCATCACTACCACCAACAGGATTGTGTCTACTCTACCATTCTGTCATAAAAAAGGGGAAAAAAATGACATGCTGTCAATCTACCCCATCATCCTAACTCTCTCATATTAGTCATGTGAGGGATCCTAAAGGCCCCTCATTACAGTTTAGGAAAAAACAGCTTATTTCATCTGCTATGGAACCTAGGCAACAGGGGCAGAAGTTTTTATGGGGCTTAAAACATGTGTAATTTGGGGGATCCTCTTTAAAAAATATATAATATAAAGCCAGCCACAAATACAAAACCCCTCAACCTTCCTGCCTTGGTTTCCCCCTTCAAAGTGTGTCAGACTGTGCTGAGAAAACATTCAGAGCAAGTAGTCAATGCCAAGTCCAAGGAATGTTTCAAAGGATGCTCACAGGGCTCTGTTATACCTGAATGACTCAAACCCTGCCTGGATCAGTCCCAGAGTCAGAACAAACCGACAGAGCCTCAGGGCAGAGGGCCCTATGAGGACATTGGTAGTCTCCAGAATCTGGCTTTGCTAAACTCTGCCAGGAACTTGCTGTGACTCCGGAAGGTCATAATTTCTTCATCTGAGATAAGATGGGGATGGCTTTGAATTAGTTCATCCCTGTGGTCTGACTTGAAATGCTTTCTGCTCAGACACACTGAGAATTAAGTCTTCTCCATCTACTTAGATTGTTCTCAATCTATTGGAAGACATTCCTTCTATCAGCTGAGTTTTCCAGGAGCAGAAGATTTGGAAGTGTTGGCCTTGATGGGTAAGAGAAACTCTTTTCTCCTTCTTTGAGGAGGGAATGGGGTTAGTAATCAGATTGTGAGCCTTGAAAATAGAGGGAACTGGCACATCCAGGGAGTAGAGGCCAAAAGACAGGGCAGTCCCTGAAAGGCTTCCTTTTTCTGTCCCCCTGTGGAGGTGGGGACCAGAATGCCCCGCCCGCGCCTCGTGCCCTAAGGGACCAGGAACTTGTGGCAGGAGCCACTGCAGCCCCGCGGGCGCGCTCACCTTGCGGCCGTTCACGTAGAAGAGCAGCTCGAGGGCCGGGTCCATGGTGGCAGCCGTGGTCCCAGTCCGAGTTTGCAGAGGACAGCGGACCCCGGAGGCGCGGCAGCTGGACGGGGTGGTACAGACCGCCAAGCCAGACGGGTTTTAACGGAGCCGAAGGTCCACCAGCCCTCCGGACCGGGGCAGTGCTGCTGAGGCCCGGGCGCAGAGCTTTAGCTGGGAAGCCACTCGGGTTGGCACGTCTGTGGGCGTCACCGGCGCTGTGTGGGCGGAGGCCTTTGGCCCAGAGGGGACTGACCCTTTCGGGCCCTCGGGGGTGGTGCTAGGCGTCTGCGTTGCTCCCTCGGCAGCCACCGTGGGTCCAGCGACATCGCCTTGGTCGTTTTAGGGTGATATTTTAGGTGCTTTCCCACTGATTTGAAGTTCTCCCCTCCCAGTTCGCCTGCTGCCGTCTGGTACTCTTAATAGTCAACAATCTCGCATTGATTATTCAGATCTGCAGGAAAGCCACGAGGTGGGTTTTTGTTTTGTTTTTGTTTATTTCAGGTACCTGGATTGAACACCGGGGCACTTACCAGCCCTTGGAATCGCAAAATTTTAAGTTGCTTAGGGCCTCACTAAATTGCTGAGGCTGGCCTTGAACTTGGGATCCTTCTATCTCAGGCTCTGGTGTCACTGGGATTGCAGGAGTGCGTCACCACGCCTGGCAACAACGGATGGTTTTTACAACTTTACCTTCTGGCTTTACAAATAATTACACAAATTTATGATTTTTAAGCCAAGAGCTACTTTGATATGAACTTTTAAGAAAAAGTTTTATCATAATTGACAAGTTATCCAGTAATTAATCATAAAATTTACCTGACAAATGACAAAAGATGTAAGACATATTGGAAAAATTCAACGACTTGGAATTGAAAAGTACAAAAATTAAAAATCATCCAAAAACGAATGCTGAGAATTTACCAATGTTAACTTTTTGGCTCTGTTTTGCATTTTTAAAATCCACATTAAAACTTATTAAAACTCATATAGGATCAAACTCATTACTTCCCAGACTTCTTTTTACTTAACATACTTAGAACATTTTCCTATATGGTTTTATTTATCTAAACACACAAAAAAATTATTGTGAAAAATTTTTAAATCTCTATGTCGAAGAGAAGTGTATAAGTAGCATCTCCCTCCCTCTGGCTAAGCTGTAGCAATGGTCAACACTTCATTTCTTTCTGCAATTTTTAAAACCAATCCCAAACACATCTTTTTACTGTGAAATACTTCAGGATACATTAAACACACACACACACAAAAGTTTTCTTATTTAGGCATGATACCATTCTCCATGTCTAAAGAAAGTATTTTTACACTTGATTTCTTTGAATCAAGCAAAAGATACTCAATGTAATTGCTTGTGGTCTCTTAATCTAACACAATCTCCTCTCTCCTCCCCTTTTTCATAGTATATTTTGATTGACCTATAATAATTGTTCATACATCCAATGTGATGTTTTGATTTACTTATTCATTGTGTGTCAGTCAAATTAGGGCAATTAGCATATGTATCACTTTAAACATATCATTCTTTATGGTAAGCACATTTAAAATCCTTTCTTCACACTATTTTGAGATATACAATACAATATATTATTCTCAAGTGTATTTACCCTAGAAAACCAGAACTTACTCGTCTTTTCTACCTGTAACAATTTGCTAGAGGACCAGCCTTTCCCCATACTGGCCTTCCTCTCCTGTCTGATTATCCCATAGAAATGATCCACATTTTAAATATAACTGATTACTTCTTCCTGGAGTTATTTGTTCTTCCATACATACTAGTTATTTTCTATACATTGGATATTAGACCCAAAGCCTTGATTTTATTTGGGTTCAATTTTTGTGTGTGTGTGTGTGTGTGTGTGTGTGTGTGTGTGTGTATGTCAAGAATACTTCATAGGGGGCTAGGATTGTGGCTGAGCGGTAGAGCACTTGCCTAGCACAGGCGGGACCTGGATTCGATTCTCAGCACCACATAAAAATAAAGGCATTGTGTTGTGTCCATCTACACCTAAAAAATAAATATTCAAAAAAGAATACTTCATAGGTATATTGCAGCACACCAGGAGGTGTATGAAGTCTGATTATCTCATTCTTAATGACACTAATATTTATCAATGAGTTTAATAAGATATCTCTGTCTTGATAATGATTTTCTCTTCAACATTTCACTGGTTTCACATTCTTCGTAGAATATTGCCAGTTGTTATTATGAGGCAGTTGCAATTTTTCTAGTTCTAGCATTCCTTCTGTATTCATCAGCTGGAATTCTTCGTTTTTTTTTTTTTTTGACAGGGAATACTTTATTTAAAACTCATCAGAGAAATGGACAGCCTGCGTCTGTGACAAAGCATTCATGTTTTAAAGCATGGGTCAGTAATTATATATGAGAGCATACAATGCTACATACAGATTAATTGATCAGACCAAAACTTTTCAATGTTCAAATCAGAATAAGCTTCCCTGTAAAAGCAGCACCTTTGTGACATTTTAACTTCAGTATTCCTTTCCTTATTTCTCACCCTTTCCTTCAACAGAATCTACACCAACCTCCTCATAATCTTTCTCTAGGGAAGCCATGTCCTCATGAGCCTCAGAAAACTCTCCTTTCTCCACCCTCTCACCCACGTAGCAGTGAACAAAGGCATGCTTGAGATCAAACTTGAGATCTAAGCGAGCCCAGGCCTTAGCAATGGCTGTGGTGTTACTCAACATGCACACAGCGCACAGTGGGAGGCTGGTAATTAATGCCAACTTTGAAGCTAGTGGGGCATCAATCCATAAACTGGATAGTATGCTTGGTCTTGATGGTGGCAATGGCAGCATTGACATCTTTGGGGACCATGTCAACAGGCAGCAAGCCATGTATTTACCATGGTGGGAGTCATATTTTACCATCTGGTTGGCTGGTTCGAAGCAAGCATTGGTGATCTCTGCTACAGAAAGCTGTTTATGGTAGGCTTTCTCAGCTGGGATGACAGGAGCATATGTGGCCAGAAGTAAGTGGATGTGGGGATAGGGCACCAGGTTGGTCTGTAATTCTGTCGGGTCAACGTTCAGGTCTCCATCAAATCTGAGGGAAGCAGTGATGGATGACACAATTTGACCTATCAGCCTATTCAAGTTAGTGTAGGTTGGGTGTTCAATGTCAAGGTTTCTGCGACAGATATCATAGATGGCCTCATTATCTACCATGAAGGCACGGAGTGCTCCAGGGTAGTGTGGGTGGTGAGGATGGAGCTGTAGGGCTCAACTACAGCTGTGGAAACCTGGGAGGCTGAGTAAATGGCGAACTCCAGCTTGGACTTCTTGTCATAATCAACAGAGAGATGTTCCATCAGGTGAACCCAGAACCAGTTCCCCCATAAAAGCTGTGGAAAACCAAGAAGCCCTGAAGACTTGCGCACTGCTCAGCCACCTTATGAATTCAGTCCAAGATAAGGCCAATAGACTCCTTGCCAATGGTGTAGTGACCTCGGGCGTAGTTATTGCTAGCATCTTCCTGGCCGATGATGAGCTACTCAGGGTGAAAGAGCTGAGGGTAGGTCCTAGTGCGAACTCATCAATGACCGTGGGTTCTAGGTCTACAAACACTGCCCTGAGGACATGCTCGCCAGTGCCTATCTTGCTAAAGAAGGTGTTGAAGGAGTCATCTCCTCCCCCGCCGCCCCCCCCCCGTAGTTTTGTCACTTGGCCATTAGGCTGGATGCCATGTTCCAGGCAGTAGAGCTCCCAGCAGGCATTGTCAATCTGGACACCAGCTTGGCCAACGTGGATGGAGATGGAGTTACACATGGTTGCTGCTTTCTGGCTGCAGAGCAAATGGCGGAGAGGAGAGGAGGGAAGAAGTTGTTGCTTCATATACTACAACTCTTAGGCGGTCGATGTAAGAGAACCTGCCATCAGCAGGGATTCTTTTGAATAGAATTCCCTATCCTTTCCTAGAACTATTGACAATGCACAAATTAAATTCATACCAGAAAGACAAATTTATATAACTTTTTCTTAAATTATAAATTTTCAGAGAATCAGTTAGCATCCTATTAACCTACAGTAGTATCCAAAGTGTTTTATCTCTCTTCCCCTTTTATCATATCAATTTATGATTTTCCCCATAGCCAGTGTTTTAATCAATCATGGTTATTATTCCTAATAATGCTGTGTGTCCCATCTTTAGCCAATGGACGTATCTTCAAACTACAATTTGTTCTTTTGATGTGATTGCATGAATTTTTGAAAATCTTCTTGCTTTCTGGCATAACAAAATGTCCCTTCTCTATATCCTGTCCCAGACTTAAAATCAGACATACTTGAAAGAGCCCTGGTTTCTTTGAATGGGTAATAATATTGAGAAACCACAATCTGGGAGAGGTGCTCATTGCCAATGAGTTGCCATTGTTTATAGACATTTTCAATGGATAGTGCTAGAAAATATAAAAAGTAATAAAAGGGGCAAAAAAAAGTATAAGTTCACATTGATATATTTAATTAAAATTCAAAATTGCAAAGGTTTAAAAAAACCTTGGATATGCTTTGAATATAGTTTGTCTCTACAAAAATGATGTTGAGGCAGCAGCGTTGGGAGGCAGGGCCTAGTAAGAGGTGTTTTGTTTAAAGGATAGAGCTTTCATGAATGAGTTAATGTCTTTCTCACATGAATTCTTGCTCAGGACTAAATTAGTTACCACAAGGCAGCCCCTCCTGATTTGCCTCTTCAGCAAATACTCACTTCCCTTCCATTTTCTGTGGTGAGTTGAAACAGCTCAAGGTCCTCTCATAAGCCAAGTAGGTGCTAGCATCATGCTCTTGGACTTCCAGAATCATGAGCCCAAACAAAACTTTTTCCTTTAGAAATTACCTATTCTCAGGTATTCTGTTATAGTAACAGAAAACAGACTGATTTACAATCATACCCCTATTCTCTTGTGTCAATAATCTTGGTTCTAAAATCTTAATAGTTTATCCTGTTCACAGATATATTTCAAAATAAG